TTTTGTATACGTTACTGTAAGCTTTTAATTAAGACAGTCTTCATGTACACCTTTTTAAAGAATTAACAAACCTATGCATATTACATACATATATCTAACATTAGATTAATATCTAATGTCATAACTAATCGAGTTCCACTATCCACCTCCATAGTCCCAAAAATTTTACGTTACGCAGGAATCGAACTTGCAATCTTGTTAAAAGAAAATATAATCATTTTTCGAAGATGGTTAACATCCCTTAGGCATAGAATGAGAGCAGCTGCGTTTGTAACTCTCTTGGGGTAATAAAGAGAAAAGAAATCATTGTTAGGATATGTTGGTATGTGGGGGTGGATTTTATAATGTATCGATTTTGATAAGCTTTTTGTCAAAGATGTACATAAATAACTCGCCTTTCAAGTTGTACACTATTTGATTTAACAAACTATATTTGTTGGAAATCGATCTTTAGAATTTTCCTTTTTCTCTAATAAATTAAATTTTTACCGACTTTAAAAAAGATTTAGATGTGTTTTATCCACTCTAGTTAGATATTTTTGGTTATTTTTAACCTAACTAAGCAAATGACCTCCTTTATTGGCTCTATACCGGAACTGTCGTTGACTGTTGGGTTATTAAGAAAAAAAAAAAGAAATCAAGTTGTGTACAGGATGTTTCGTAAAACACGGAGACACGCATGGGTTAGAGCGCGTCCTGTATATAGTCGGTAGGGTGGTCTATTGCTAACCAAATTTGTAGTATTTCTATTATTGTACGTACCTACTTTGGTGCCATTGACTGATTTTAAAGAAGGAAGAGGGGGGGCTCAAATCATATGTGTTTTCTTGTCTGGATGTGTGTTTATCTGAGCATTAAAAAGATGTATCCTTTTTCCTTGATTTTTTTTTTGCTAATCTTACATATATACATAATATGTATATGGTCTCAAATAACATTCAAGAAGAAATCAACCATTACGCGTGGAATTATTACTTTATAGTGATTTCGAAGTTAGTTTATGGCATTAAAATTAATATTTCTGGTGTATTTCTAATTGTAAGCCATAAGTCTGCATCGTTTTTCAGTTCACAGACTATCTAAATATTTAAAATAACAAATTAATTTTCAATTTTTTTGAATTAGACAACTGCATGAACAGCATTGTAACTCTATATTGGAACAAATTTTTATCTGTACTGTAAATATTATCTTAATACTGAGATACAATGTTGTTCTTTGCATGTGTTGATTTGAAAGGCATAATTCAATCACCTCCACACGATACAGCATAAGTTATAGATATAAAAAGAACAACAGATGCAATGTGAGATGAACATTTAAACATCCATCAACAATACAGATATATATTTCGTTTGCGACATAAAATCTAGATCAGCTTTGACGTCATAGCTCTAACATTAGCACCCACCAGGAAGCCTGTGACGTAAAGCGTGACATTTGCTAACTAGTCTGTTTTTGTTTTTATTCTGTGGTAGGTTATGTTTTTTTTTTAATTTGCGTATCTGTTTAGTCTGTCAATGGAATGTGATTAGGTTTTTTTTTCTATTTTTTTTATCTGTGCAACGAAATGGTTTTTGAATTTTAATCTTAGGAATAAACTAGAAGATCACCCTCGCTTCGCTATAAACACAAAAACAAATCTATCCCACGGGAACCGTACATTTTTCCGGGATAAAAAGTAGCCTATATGTTATTATGATGTACGAGCTATATTATTGTAAAGTTTCATTGAAATCCATTCAGTAGTTTTTGCGTGTAAAAGTAACAAACATCCATACATCCTCACAAAGCTTTATTTAAGCAATTTTTTTTGGAAACTAAAAAAATACTTTTACCATTTACATAATATTCATATAGATATTTTTTTTATTTATTTATAACATTTTATTGCACACGAAAATAGTACATTAACATAAAAAAATACAATTAAAGACATGTGCAAAGGCGGCCTTATCACTAAAATTGATCTCTTACAGGCAACCGATAGAAAAGGATGCAAGAAAATAAGTGAGAAGAGCAGAATGGTGCATAAAGTGCAAATCATTAAAACTTAATATAAATAAACATACATATATAAAATATTAATTTTACCATATATATTTTTATTATATAAACATTCAATTTTTTTTTATATAACAACACTTGCTCATTTTTCTATCTTAATCCACTTTAAACTTATCTTTCTAAAACCCTACAACCCTCAAGCAACTCTACATCCCTCTCGACCCACCCTCACCCTCTTGCCAAAAATGTCGAAACCGAAATTAGTTTGAAGCTATTTATATATAGCAAATTAATTTGGGACACGCGTCTCAAACAGAACGTGTGTAGTAATTGTTTTCTATACAATTGGCATGCCCTGGTTTTACACGTTATATGAAAATAATTGATTTATGGTATGTAGTTTGAATAATTTTAATAAATAAATATATATTTATACACACGACGACACGTTTGGCTCAGTTTGTAGTGATCCTACTTGCTGTGCCAGCGGTCGCGGGTTCGAGTCCCGCTGGGGGCATTCATTTGTGTGATGAGCACGAATGTTTGCGCTCCAGTCATGGGTGTTTATATTTATATTTATAATATGTATGTATTTAAAGTTATGTATGTGTAGTGTATCAACTATCTGGTATCCATAACACAGGCCTCGTAGCTTACCATGGAACTAGATGGTGCTGTGTGTTAATGTCCTAACATATTTATTATTATTTATTATTTATAATTGCTTAGATATTTTATTTAATACTCTCTTAGATTTACGCGAATATTTGATATTTTAAACATAATTTTTAATTTTTATTTTTTTTTGTTTAATAATGGGTAGGCATGGTCTGTAACAAGTTTATAATGCCTTTGAGACGTCTATAAACTTAGTCTCTCCCGTGACCACGATTGTTGTAAAGCATTCGAAACGTCGCGAAACCAACAATCAAAATAAATCGGCGAAATAATCCGAAAAGATAGTTTTATTTAGATATTTTATTGTTGTTTTTAAATAATTAATAAATGTTTTTTTTTTAATTAATTAAACTTTTTATTTATCTAGATCAGATACTTGCATGAAAATAATACGTAAGCGTTAGGTACATTACACTCGAAACTATATCTCGTCTTACATCTGTCATTCGATCCGAAAATTGAACGATTTCGGAAATGCTTAAACCGATCTTCCGCCGGAAATCATCCCCCTTGATAAACCAAACCACCCCCTTATAAATACACCTGGTCTAAGTTTTATGAATACTATGAATATCATTCGGCTTCTTCTCTTATTTAAAATAATATTTGTTTTTTCGTTATGTTATGGTATGGTCTTTAGAGCTATGTAGAAAAGTTATGGTTTTTTGGTTATATAATTTAACATTAGATTATGTGATTTTCTTCATATTTATATTTTTTTATTTCTTCGTATAAAGTTGTTTTTTTTTTATTTATCTCTAATCATTCTAATAAGGATTAATTATGTTATACGTTTCAATAAATAAATTTAAATTGTTATCTTCGATTAGAATAAAATATGTATTCTTAGGCAGATAAAATTAAAGCGTAAATTCCTTCATAAAAAAAAATAAAAAAATATCCATATTATAAATATTAAATTGACATTAATATATTTTTTAAATTGTAATCTATACAAATTACCTAAATTAAACGTTGACATACTTTTTTTTAATTTGTTAAAACGCGAAAACAAAATGGCCCCGCATTGTTATGCTCGGGTTACACTTCCGCACTTATCATTAAGCACGTAGCACACGTGCGGGGGGTGATATAGTAATGTGTTCACAAAGTTCATTATACTGGATTTTCTATTCGGTTGAACGCTCTGATACGCTACGATGATTTTTTCCTTATTTTAAAGGTATAGAGCATAGACTAGAATTTGTTTTTTTATTCTTGTGAGCTTTTTTTAAAATCTGGTGGCAAAGATGTTTTTATTTATTTTTTTAAATATATATAACACTTAAACACTTACAAAAGTGTAAGTAAAGTGTTATATGGTAGGAATTACATTCATCGTATGTTGTTTTTGTGACATTATTTTAATTGTTTATACTTTATACTACATATATATTATGCCATTTTTTTTACGTAAATTACGATTTAAAGGAAACTTACATCTGTTGTCAAAACTATTATAAACATAATATCCGCAGAATTAAAAAAAAAATTAAATAACCTTTCCTTTATTCTCACTTCGTAATATACAAATATACAGTACATTCTTAATAAAATTCAAAACGTACAAATGTTAGAAGCAAGCTGGCTCGCATCTGTCACGCAGGTGCCTTTAAATAGGGGAAAGATGGAAACACCTGTAGCCTTTATTACGTTCGCATAAGATTCAAAATCGTTTGAGATATCACGACTTGAACCTATTCTTCGTAGTTCATGTATAGTTATTCGTAGGGGATATAATTTGACGCTCTGAACGTGTGCCTTTTAAGCCACTTTACTTAAGTTTTTTAAGTCGGCCTATTTATATATATGTACGTGGAAACGCCTTTAAATGATTGCTAGTAATCGAGAAATGGATGGACGTGTATAAAAGACTGATGCACGATTTCACCAACGTCACCTAAGTTTAAGGGATCCCCTAAGCATTGTTAGGGGGCTGTTAGGGGACAGTTTTTGTTTCACCGACAGTTAGGGGTCACCTTAATATTAATAGGCCCTCTAAATTTAGCAAAATTTAGGTGTATTTAATTTAGGGGCTAGTTTAGGGGACTTTTAAGCTAGGGATCCCATACGTAGGTGGTAGCTTATGGGTTGTTGGTGAAATCGGGCATGATTAAACTAAATATTATTATGAAATTTTTGATTTCAAAAGAGAGGAACTTAATACTCTTTTTTGGCAATGTTACTGGACATGTTCACTAATTATTGTGGATCGATTTTAATTTTGTTTACCACCATCTCTAACGGTGAAATAAAACTTTTGAGTAATTTTGCTTTAAATAAATAGTACTTATACAATTTTTTCCTTGTTCCAGCACCCCGCACATCTTGCACGGGAGGAGCTCCAAACAATCTGCCACCGCTCAGCTTCCACGCGGTCCACGGAGAGAATGTACGCGTCTCTCGTGATGGTGCTACCGCTAGACGTGTCGAGTCCTTCTGTAAGGGTGTCGCGTTCAGCGCCAGACCAGTCAGAGTTAATGAAAAGGTCAGTTATTTGCTTTGTAATTAATTAGTTATTAGTAGGTTTTATATTGACTTTGCTACTTTATATTTCTATATTTTAATTCAGGAGTTGGTCTATCTGTGTGATAAATTTTATCCAAATTTGTTTTACTGTTTACATGTGATTGAGTAACAAACATCTTTACATACTTTCAATTTTATAATTTATAATTTTTTATTTAGTATATCTAATAGTATATGTGTATATCTAATAGTAATTAATATCTTATTTGCAGGTGTGCCTTCGTTTTCTCGAAATATCGAACAGCTGGAGTGGTGTCATTCGTTTTGGATTCACCACCCACGATCCCACCACACTTGCGCATGCGCTTCCGAAATATGCCTGCCCTGACCTCACAAACAAACCCGGAAATTGGGCCAAAGCTTTAGGCGAAAGATTTTGCGAGAAAGATAACATTTTGTACTATTACGTAAATTCCGCGGGCGATGTTCACTTTGGAGTTAATGGAGAAGACAAAGGATTGTTCTTCTCAGGTGTCGACACTAGGTCACCGCTGTGGGCTTTAGTAGATGTATACGGAAACTGTACAGCAGTCCAGTTCGCTGATCCCAGGGCTCCCAACCAAATCAGAAGATGCACACAAAGTCCAGTTGCAGAAGAAGCAGACAGATTAGTCACTAGCATGCGCACTCTCTCAGTAGACGAGCCCCTACCACCACCCAGATACCAAAACCCACTAGTTCCACTAAGTCTACATAGAACGAAAGGCAGAAATGTACAATTCATAACAGATAGAGGCGTGGCAGCTAGAATTGAAGCGGAATTCTGTCAAGGATACGTGTTTACAGCTCGTCCCATGCGCCCCGGACAGACTATTGTCGTTCAAATATTGGCTACAGAAGCTGCTTATGCTGGCAGCTTGGCAATAGGTCTGACGTCTTGTGACCCGGGCATATTGAGACCCTGTGATTTGCCAGATGACGCCGAACAGCTACTAGATCGTCCAGAATACTGGGTCGTTAGACGTGATGCGGCGAATGGACTTCGTAGAGGCGACGAATTGGCTGTCACTTTGACATTAGATGGGGAAGTGCGTGTCAGTAGAAACGGATCAAATCCAGTCACAGTGATGCATGTGGACCATACGTTAAGATTGTGGGCGTTTGTGGACATTTATGGGGCGACGCAAAAAGTTAGAATGTTAAGTTCCCAAGCTATTCAAGCTCAAACGCCTCCTCAGCAGTTGAGAGTGATCACAGGGTCTGCAGCTCCGCTGACAGCCGGAGGGGGTGGCACTGTGCTAGTTGTTAGTCTTCCACCACAAAATGGCGGCCAGAATTCAGGCAACCAGCAGGGACTGACGTTGGCGAGCGCGCATTATATTGAGGTGAGTTAAGGAAGTTTATTATTACTGGTTAAGAAAATGGAAATAATGCTTTAAATTAATGGAATCATGCAGTTATTACTGATGGTTTTAAGTAAAGTCTTACCATATAAATGTTTCAAATAAAAATTAGTTTTAAGAATTAAAAAAAAGTTTAATCTTTAACTTAAAACATTTTTTTTGTTTACAGCCTATCCAAACGTCGTCACAACTCTGCCTCGCTGGGCTGCCTATAGCCGCTCAAGCACCATCGTGTTCCCAAGCCTTCCGTCCCAGGGTCGAGGGTCAATGCTCCTCCACCAGCCAGAACAACTCCAACGAACAACTCCAAATGCCCAACCATGAACCATTGAGGATCGAGAGGATCCCCAATGGACCCTCAACTAGTCGGTCCATACCTTCCACCTCTCATCATACATATTCAGTCATCGGAGAAGGACTTACTGGCACAGAATGTACTATATGCTATGAAAATCCAATAGATAGTGTTTTATATATGTGTGGGCATATGTGCATGTGCTATCGCTGTGCTGTGCAGCAGTGGAGGGGAAAGGGGGGTGGCCAGTGCCCATTATGTAGGGCCCAAATTAAAGATGTCATCCGTACATACAAATCTTGATGTGTTTAAAACGGTCAATTTTAATAAAAGGTGATAGTGTGTAACGATCTTTTGAATGAATGTCTGAAAAAGCGAGAGTATGGAACTACCATTGAATGTGAGTTTTCAGTTTTGTGAGGCGATAGTGTGTTCCATACATTATTTTTAATTAAGGAATATGCCAAAAATTCGGATACTCGATGCGAAATAATTTGACTAATATATATCGCTAAGTTCCAAAAATGTGTATATAGATAACGTATTTATGTGTAAATAAATAAACCGACTTGAAAATAATGGGGTTCTGTCTAATTTCTGTGGTATTTGGGACCACTTTGGGAATAAACTCACGTTTACTGCCATTCCCGAAAAAAACGTATATATTTCGCACCCTCTCATTTTGCAAGTCGGTTAAATGATATGACATATTGTAGCAATGCTTCGGAATTAATTTGGCTGTAACAATTTAGATGTAATTGTAATGTATAATATCGTTAAATTTTAATAATATATACGTAATATTTAGTTTGTTTTAAGGTTATTCGAAATGAAAAAAAATGTAATTTATTGATTGTGTATCGACATTTTGATTTAATAATTTCCAAGTAATAAATTAAAAGTGTATTTTTTCTTATTCACACATTTTCACACATATAATGAGACTGTGTGACTGAAATCCTTTACACTATAAACTGACATTTAAATTAAAAAAAAATATTACTTTTATTACTGATATATTTTTGAAGTGATTTATATTATCGATTTTAATTTCAATTTATTTAAACAGGATTCGGTGAATAGATTAAGAATTATATATATTGCTTCATTAATATGTCACATTTCTCATATATTTTTGAAGTAATTTATAATATCGACTATCAATATTAATTAATTTGATCAGAATTGATAATTTGTTAGAATAAGAATTCGACATAAGCGATTTAAAGACGCGAGGCTATACAGTAGTTCTGCTAGATGAGTAAGTTATAGGGTTCCTAAGAAATATCTAGAACATAGACAATATATGAATGAAAAACGTTGTCTATATATCATCTTAGAGTTGCTGTAAAAAGTGGGTTTTTACCAAAAAAATTTCTTAAACCGTTCAAATGTAAAAATATACGTTTTATTGCAACTCTAAGATTCCAAACATACGTCCACAGATATCGAGTGATAGATTCGCAGCATTTAATTGTCATAATTTGTATTATTATTTTTAATCTGTATCTTTTCACAGCAGTTCCTAGTTTGGACGGTTTTCAAATGTTTCAAAAAATATCTTGATTGTTTAATTTACTCTAATCTTTTCGATGATATAAATAATTTGATTATAAATATTTTCATTGACAATATTTATTTTTATATCTGTAAATAATTCATTTATTTATTATATATTACTTAAAGCATTGAAAATAGTGGCAGCATTATTCTTCTCTTGAGATTTGGAAACTAAAAACAGATCGAATGTTTAACTAAATTCGGCCCGTAGATGATGCGCTACGGCGCTGTGTTGCCAGTTAAATATTACGTATCGATAAAGAAAACCGTTCAATAAAATAAAAACTATCTTACCCCAAATTTTCTAAATCAAATTGTAACATAAAATGCAATTTAGAAACATCACTAGCTTTAAAATTTTACTAAAAAAAGTCTATTAACAGTTTCTTTGCTCAATCCTTCTTGTGTGCATATCATGATATTAATATTTTGAGCTCTATTTCGATAAATTATTTCAAGTCTGAACATAACATATCTATTTAATGCATTTTCTGTTATAATCATTCCTTTTTAGATATGTGTTAAGATGTATACAAATATGTGTACTAATGTAGCCAGTCTTTATCTTTTAGTTTAAACATAAGAAACCAGATGTCGACTTATGAATCAGTAAATAGAATATGAACGGTATATGATTTAATGATTCTAAAAAATAGCAATAAACAACGAAAATTTTGATTGAATCCGTTTGATGATCAATGCCTTATTTAACACCCGTATATGCCTTATTATTACATTGTCGGTCACGTTTTATCGTTCATAAGTGCTCTGGTAGTTTTAAACGTTAGCATAGTTTGTGCTATGAAGAATATAGTCTTGTTAATATAGTTCAATCTTTGTATGTGAAAGTTGGTCCAAAAATTTGAACAATTATAGTTGGCGCTCAGAGAGCGCTGCGGTCGTTATGTCCCAAGAGGTACAAGAAAGATTTATTAAATTCACACTGATTTGTTTATCACTAACTTCGCGCTACTAATAAACAGCTAAATTCTCTCTCACGGCAGTTTCGGGAACTATAGCTCTAAAAAAATTTGCGGACGGACTTTTCTTATGAAACCTTATGGAGATTGGACTCCTTGTCTATATTCCTCATGGTGTGTGCAATTCTACATTTGACACATCAAATATAGAATTATTATTAATCTGTAATTTATGACGTATTTATTTTAGTATCTGTAATTTTTATACCAAAACAGTGTGACCAGTTTATTGAATCTGCTAATCGAGTTGTTCGATGCCAAATCTAATTAGTTCATATATCGTAATGCAATATTTTGTTGCAGCGAACAGCATTGTAACACGGTTTTGAAACGATTTTTATGTGGAGTTTTATTATTTATATGAGAAATTAATTGCTATTATTAAATTATGTCAACACTGAGTTACAATATTGTTCCTTGCATAAATAATTGTCGATTTGTAATATTGATACTTGTTTGGAAATGTGTTTATGTATATTTTCAAGTTTTTTAAGATTGTTTTTATTTTTCATTGTAAGTTTTTAATCTATCATCAGCCCACACAGATTAGTATGTAAATGGATGCGCACATGTAAAAAATTTAATATTGGTAGGTTGAAAATTTACAATAATATTTTTATTTATTTATAATGTATTGCAAACTTGTATCAATATAGAAATCATGTGTTATTGTGCGACATTTTGTTTATCCCCGTGGTCATCTAGTCGTTAATTTATTTTGAGAAAAACACTTGAGTACGACGTTGGAGTTTAGATAAGTTTTCAATTAAAATGGTTATCGAAAACTATGTGTTTTTTTTTACCTTCTAGTTTTTACCCTAAAACATAAGTTTATGGAGGAAAATAAATTTAATGCATAAAAAATATTCCTCTTATATAAAAGTGGGCGAAAAACACGGTAAGTATCCCGTTTTATATCATACAAAAATAAAAATAAAACTTATATTATTTATATTTAAATAATTGTTTTTATTTACTAAAATTGATTACCTAAAAACATTAAATAACTCTTAAAATAAAGCAATACTGTCCAATTGTAGTAAAGGAGATAGCGTAGCGTTTTATTTGGTTATTTAGAATTGACTGGAATTTATATTGATAATCGATTTCGTCTATTAAATTGGGCCTCTGTCAGTTACATATAGTGTATAGGTAGAGCAAAAGGCGACGATGTGAAAGGCGAGTATATAAAAAAAATTGAAATAAAATTTCACTTAGATTTTTTTTTTACTGTTACAACATTTACGAAATAGTTTTTTAGGTCTTATAAAAAAATCAACTTAATTGAAACGATATTGAAATTATAATTAGTTTTATATCGCATGAAATTCACAAAGTTGATTTTTATACTTTTTAAATAATAATATAGATCGCTACTCGGTCTTATTTTTAATGAAGGTATTAAGACTGTCTAAAGCCGGTGTCATATTTTTCTCTGGTTTTAGTATTAAGTGATTGTTTTGTAGTAATTTAATTTATGAGTTATCCCAAAAATACTATCATAATTGTTTATATGTCCTCGGTGGTCTAGTGGCTTTTACGACAGCAGATCTCAGAGATCCTGGCTTCGAGTCCTGGGTCGGACCAAGTACAGTTATTAAGTACATACCTATTTCTGTTTAAAAAATCTCCTAATCGCTCATAAATTCAACCTATAAACTATCTATTAAAAAAAAAAGAATATCGGTTACTCCGTTTTTGCTTCAAAGAAACCCAAATAAGTAAGCATTTAATAATTTTAATACATAATTATATACGATTATGATATGAGCGATAGTACCTATATTATTACTAAAAAAAATCTTAACAACAGGCAACTTTTACGAACCTATTAAAATTATAATGTTGAAAGAACAAAAATTGATGTTATCTGATTATATAATTATATATTAAGTTTTGAGGCCTCATAGTTTGAACTTACCATGAAAGAACAATGACCTTTTCATCTACGTTTAAAGTTTTTATGTGCTTCTATTAATTTAACTATGGGTATTATGTAAAGACGTAGAAAATAAAAACTAATATGAAAAATGTAAAAGAGTGTTTGTTAGGTTTTCTTTTGCGCTGAAAGGGAGCGATGGATATATATATTTATATATTTGAAGTTTGGAGAGATGAACAGGGAAATAACATGCTGTGAAAATATAATCTTTTCAAGACAAAACTATTTATAATAAAAGTAATATACAGAGAATTTAAATTGCTATGGTTTTCTGTACGAAGGTAGTTGTAGCCCTTGAAAAGGACACAGGAATGCTTGTAATTACCTAGAAACGAAAACGAGCGAAACGTCATTACGTACTTAATAAGATATATACCAATATGTTTTTGTTATTACACGTTATTATATACTAACTAATATTTAATAACTTGTAATAACAAAAACATAGGTCAGGCTGTGACATTAGCTACTTTTATAACTGTACATCAACTTATTCCCATGGGAATTTATTTTATTGCACAAAATACTACTTAATTGATGTGTCTATGATGAGGGAGAGAGTGAATAAATAGAAAGTTTAACAACACTTTAAATGATCAGAATATAAAATTTATAATATTTTTAGGTTTATAAAGTTCATTTTGCTTTTGAGGTAGATTTATATAAATAAAAGTAATAATTCATTCCGAGATCGTTTTAACAAAAGTAGTCTCTGAGTATTAGTTGCCAAAACCTTTATTGGATAAACTCATGCAATAAGCTCGTGTAAATATTTTTAAAACATTTTTAGTCGTTAGTTAGACGCATTTTTATTGAATATTAAAAAAAGCGTTCTTAGTAACTTAACACAACATAAATATAAAAAAAATAGTATGTTTCTCATAACCACTACAAAATGTATCATTATTAAAGATTATAATAAAATATTATTTTACACATAAATTATTACTGTGCAAAAAAACCGTTTACATTTATAATATTGACTGACACTTTTGCATACTTAAATAAATATAAACAAAATAGAAAAAAATATTTTTAATCTATGCACATTAAATATATCTCCGAGTATCCGAACGTCGCTTGATTTATTTTACATAGCGTCAGGATTGAACCTATTGTTATTGAAATTAACGTTATAACATATAACCTTTTATTCTTCTTTCTATTTTATTTTTAGAATTAAACAATGAAATAAGTTGTGTTTTATTCTAAATACTGTGTTTTTGATAACAAAATAAAGTGTAGACGTATAATACAGTGCAAAAGGTAAGCCGTTCATTCAAAACATTACATGTTAAATTAAATTAGTTCATTGTACCGAAAGCAATTAATAGCATGTGCTGGAATTTCAAGAAACAATTATTACGATCCTTTTATAAAATAAATGGCGGATTCAATTATATCGATTATAACTGTAAATTTAAGTTGCTCAAGTGTTAGTTTTGTTCATTTGTATACAATACCTTGATATTTTCATTTCATAACTGTACTGGTATGTGAATGCCCTAGAAATTATTTTAACAAGTTTATTGTTTTTACTTCACTCCATATATCGACTTGTTGCGTCGTTAGTTTTTATCTTTTATCATTTAACATTAATTAAATAACACAAATAATTATGTTGTGCAAATAGAAATGTCGATTATAATGCTTTATCTGCAATTAAATATTAATATATTATTCATTCAAAAAACAGAATTCAGATTATTTATTTTATTTTAAAAGTTAAATTAGAAAAGTTTTTTCTTTTTTGGGTCATATTCATTAATGAAATTTTAGCTTTTTTTTAAATAAAACAGTGCAAAAATAATTTTAAATTATACTATATATTTACTTTTCATATTTTATTCTATACATTATATACAATATTTTAGGCGAAAAAAATAATGTGCAATTTAAGATAATAATTAATTTGTCACCATGTAAAAGTATATTTTTAAATTTATTACAGTACCTATACAATTATTCCAAATTAAACAATAATTATACCTTTTGGTAATTTAAAAAAAAACTTGCACATCTAACTAAAGCAATACTTATTTTTTATCAATTGTCTTGCTTAATTAAATGCACCTTTAAAATTAAATATTTTTGACAATATTTCGAATGCCGCTGTAAACAAATAGAAACAGAGAACCAATAATCAAATTAAAATTAAATCTCAAAGTTAAAAATAGTTTTGTTAAAAATGTCAAATATGTTTTATATGTAAAAATAAGTATGTTTGTCCAAATGTTTATTTAAAATGTGTATACTTCTCTTATACCTAATTGAAGTTAATTTATTAATTAAACCTCCAAAAAGTACAACTATAAGGAATTTTGGTGTATTTATATAAATATTTAATATATCACAGTACATTTGAGTGAAAGTAAGATGGGTTGCTATTTACAAAAAATAATTAATTTTATTATATTTCAGATGTTTTGTGTTCAAGAAAAGGACTCTCCGCACTCAGAATCGTTTAGAAATACCGACAAAGACCCCTTGAACACTCAGTCTGAATCTAGTGATGATGAACCAGATGCTAAACGTCTTAAGTTCTCAAGTCCCGACCTGAAGCTGCAAGTTTATCAAATACCAACATACAACACCCCCAAATCCTTATCAATATATCCCTCCACCCCTACCTCTACGCTGCCAAAATTTGTAAACAACCCTTTGAACTTAGCCAACCCCCTCGCATTTGCAACGAACAACTTACATACAAATAATATTGTAAAAAATCTCCAAAGCCGATATTCTTTACCTGCTAAATTAACTATCACTCCGGTGAAACAAGTCTCTGACGGAGAAGTAGTAAGATATAAGAAGAATGGTGAAATAGCAAAGAAAAGGGGTCCACCAAAGGGGTATAAGCGAAAACCTAAGGATCTGTCGCAGAGTTTCTCCAATGGAGCATTATTGCAGGTAAGAATTTAAAAAGTACTAGAGTTAGGTTGTTTTGAAACTTTGTATCAAATAAATTTAGGAAAAAATATGGCTTTTAAATTGAATACAATTTTTTTTTCTGGTATAATTTGCGATCAGTCTTTTGACTATAAGCAAAGTTAAGAGGTTGCTATCATGTAAGGTTGATTATCATTAAGATGTAATATCATTCATTATTAAAGCTAGAATTATAATGCTAGATCAAGTATGGCTTTTCTTTTGAGACATCTGGACATTTATCATCCAGAAGACGGTTTGTTATTATGTGATAGTTGTTTTAACTACCGTCTTTTACAATTGTCTAAAACTGAGCATAAACTGTCATATCGTGTTCAGCTCTTTTTTCAACCTCCCAATAGTGGGCGTGGGACTCTTCAAGAGGAGGAGGATCAGTCCTTAGTCCACCACGATGGCCTAGTGCGGGCGGACTGAGCATGTCTTTCGAAAACTTACTAGGTTGTTGATGTTTTCCTTCACCGTAAGACAAGTGGTAATCATGTTGGAAATGATTCGCAGATGAAAATATCAGAGGTGCTAAACACGGGATTTGAACCCGCTTCACGCGGTTTCCCAAGCGAGCGCGTTACCACTGGGCCACCACTGCCTACATAATGTGATAACCATATTATTCTTTATTTCAGGCACAAAACACAATCCTGACAAGTCTTCTTGCAGCGAATACAACATTAACAACCATAATTCCACCACCACCTCCGGAACCTGCACCAGAAATCAAATTACCTCCAGGTAAAAAAAATTTGGCTTAAAGAATAAATATTAATATTATTATTGAATTATATATTATTGAAATAAAAGCGTTTAAAGATATTATTTTATATTCTTCCGTTTTTCTAGATAGGATCAAAAAAATGTATTAAATGAATTTTAATTTCACATTTGTTTAATTCAAGTAATTTTTTTTGTGGGCAACAATTATTATAGTAATAGAGAAGTTTAAGAAAAAAAAAACGTTTTAGACTTAGGCCACTTTTGCACTAACTATAAAAAAAATCAAAGTTATGTCCATATAAAGATATGGACATAAGTTTGATTTTTTAATATTCTCCATCATTTATCCACCCACAGGCACGGAACTGGTGGAACTACTCCTGGACCCAGAGGACTGGTTCCCCACAGAACCCTACAGGATGGTTTTCAGTAGGAAAAAGAATCCCAAGTGGAAAAACTTTCCGTACAGATGCGAACATTGTTTCAAAGTGAGTTATACATTATGTTTATAAAAAAAAACTAGCGACTCACCCTCGCTTCACTGGGGTTCGTCCCTTGGTTGATCTCCCATACAAACTTCCATCCCGATTTTCACCCCCTTAAGGGATGATTTCCGAGATAAAAATTATCCTATGTCCTTCCCAGGGTCTCAAACTATCTTCTTACCAAATTTCATTTAAATCGGTTCAGTAGTATCGAAGCCTATTCAGTACAAAAAAAAAATCTTCTTTATAATATTAGTATACATAGATTAAATAATCAAAAATTACTTGTTGAGGTTATACTTCTTTTGGGACGTTTAGAAAAAAATTACGATGCGCGCGCACATCGTCAGCCAAAAAGCGACACGATGAAGTTAGCTGCATTCCTTTCACAAACAGAGTTGTGACATACGGAATGAAATCTTTAGCTATTTTTGTTATATTACGCCAAAGAAGTATAACTTCTTACGTGCGTACATAACGTACACTTTCACTTATTTTTCAGGGTTACAGAGTAATATCAACCCTGGTCGCCCATTCAGCGTCTCGCCATGGGTGTCCACCTCGCACCCTGGCCGTCCCATGCCCTTGCTGCCCCCATGTGTCGTTAAGGAGGAAACACCATAAGAAACACCTGGAAACTCATGAAGGAAAGCGGCATAGAATCTTTTGCCCGTACTGTTTGCCGCCTGGTAAGCATGTACTGTTGATAGTGAGGTCTAGGTTCGAGTTCAGAATCTAAAGAGTTACAGTAGCAACTGAAGTTGGAAAGTTGGAAATGTGGATATTCTCCCGACTGTGTCGATTTATCATTTCATCGCAGTATGAGAGGGAAAGGGACAGAATGATAGAGTATGTGCGCTCTTCTTCACTTGTATATTATAATATCTCCCGAAGTTGCCTAGTTTCAGTGATCAATATTGGTCAGAAGGACAGTTTTTTCATGGTATCTTAACTCTATTTCGTCAAGCATAACTCGTCTTTATAACCACCATCTAGTTCCATGGTAAGCTACGAGGCCTGTGCTATGGATACCAGATAGTTAATAAACTACACATATATAACTTCAAATACATACATATTATAAATATAAACACCCATGACTGGAGTACAAACATTCGTGCTCATTACACAAATGAATGCCCCCAGCGGGACTAGAACCCGCGACCGCTGGCACAGCAAGTACAAACCTGGTGACTACAAATTGGGTCAAATGTGTCATCAAAATTATAATTTTGTGTTAATTATATTTATTATAACTCACAAGCTCACTCACAAACAAGCAAACACAGTATTTATAAAAAATATTTCAACTTAAATATTAATTAACTACGTCCTAAAGTTAAATTAATTTTTTTTTTTCCAGTGGATCCCTCCGAGCCATATATAAAGGAATCAGTAAAATATCCCTTCGACAAATACCCACAATATTGGTATGCATCAGAAGAATCTCTTCGTCTGCATAAAAAGAGAAAACATCCCTACGCGGCCATGTTTAATTATAACTGGTATTGTACATGGGGGGAAATCCCGCCAAACAGCTAAAAATGGTAGGAAATTCGTACTATGGTAGTTTTTGTGATGGTAGAAAATTGGTACAAATTGGTAGCTTTTTTGACATATAAAAAGACGTGGTAGGCTAATTCTACTAAAGTGACAGAGAATTGGTACAAAATGGTAGCTTTTACAATTGATTTTTTTTTGTATTTTTGTACAGTAATCACAATATTGTATTTTTTACGCGCAAGTGAGATTTACAATAATTTAGATCGTATTATTAGTATGTAGTATTATTAGAAAAAGCCTGAATAGTATTAGTATTTTTCGACGTAATTTTAAATGTTGGCAACACAGCCTTTTAGTACTTATGATAAGTGTTGCAATATAAATAAAATTATTGGTAGAAATATTTTAATAAGCGTGTTTAATAAGTGTGTATATTTTTGTATGATCATATAAAAATATCAACAGAATTGTGCCTTTATCGGTGAAAAAAGACATTCCAGTGTAAAATGATATATTGGCATTGATCGAACTAATCTTATATGAGAGATACTATAGTCAATATTCTATTGGTTGTAGAAAACTAAAAAAAAAGTATTGAACTCACATGAAATGAGCGATATAAAAGGAAAATGAGAATTTATAATCCATGAAATGATTTTTTTTTTTTTATGAAAAATTGTCTTTTAAAAAAAAAAAACTTTATGGTATCTTGTATAAGTCCCTATAAGATTTTGTTATTTCTATATATTGTTTAAATCAAATGAAATCAAAATATACCTTATTCAAATAGACTTTTACGAGCACTTTTGAATCGTCAATTTTTTATTTTAAATTTAATGTAAGCGTCAGTGTAGTCAGTCTGTGGCAGTTCTGCTGAGAAGAGCAGGCGGAAAACTCAAAAGTTGCTCTTTTAAAATAATAATTGTTTACAATATTGTAATACAATAATTATCTACTTATCGTACGTGAAACCTCACCAGACATGTTTAGTTTTCTATCAGCGATATAAGATAATGGCAACTAAAAGGCTCAGTAAGACAATTCATTTAATTGATTGAAAAAACTCCATATTTTATGTAATTTACGAATAGTATTGTAAAATATATCGGTATATTGTATGTATTTGTCATATTTTTTTTATCTACATCATCGTTTAAGACAAAGATAGATACAAAGTGAAAGACAGATTTTTTCTATATATGTATATATATTCAGTGTCAATATATCAATAAAGTGTAAATAAAGTTAGTTAACAACACTATATATATATTATATATGTGTCGAAAGTAAAAGTAGATAAAGTCAGAAGGCATAATTTAATTAATTTAACCATTTTTAATTAATGCATGTATAAACAAAATGTCAGTTAAATCAAATGAAAAATAATTATAATATATATAAAAATTACCTTTTAGGTTTCAGTGGAAAAGTGGCCTAAATATAATATGATTCTGATTTTAAAATCTGTTTTAAATTGTACTTAACTCACTTTTGCACTGAACCCTGTACTAATGTATACCGTTGAATTAAAAAAAAATCTTTCAATACACTAATATAATCCTAAAGTACCCATTAGACCGAGAACCTTTGAGTTTCAATATTTTTTATAAGTGAACTAGTATAGATCGATAAGTTTTAATTTTTTTGAGCGAAATCCTAATTCTTTTTCTAAAATTAAAGTAGCCTAAGTTACTCCTTATAACGTCAACTATCTGCTAGTGAAAGTCCCGTCAAAATCGGTCTAGCCGTTTCGGAAATTAGCCGGAATAAACAGACAGACAAAAAAATTTAAAAGTTGTGTTGTTCTTATAAGTACCGTATATAATTTCTTATGCATTTAGTAAAACAGCTGTTATTTTGACATTACATACAGACACTTCAATTTTATTTATCTGTATAGATACGAATAATTCATAATAATAATTATAAATCATCAAAAAAAAAATATATATTTTTAGTGTTGTTAACTAACCAGTTAATATTATAATTTTACGTTTAGTGTATTTTTAGATCGATTTTTAAGATTGTACATATTTAGTGTTCAAAGATATAAAACATAGTAAATGGAAGCTTATAACATACAATTTGTTACTTTCTGGCACTAATTTAATTACCTATGAGCAAAAAAGGAGGACAAACAGACAAGCATTTTTGTATTTGCTATATTTAATATGTTATTTCATGCTATGTTTCATATCTTTGGCGTGTAAAAACAGACGTACAAATCATTATACCAGTATTTTTATATACATATTGATGCATTTAATGAGTTTTAAATTTTAGATGTAATTTATGTAGCTTTGATTATTCGAGTGCGGGTTCGATTCTCGTTTCGTGATCGAATTAATTGTATTAAATATTACACAGTGACCAAATCCGTTCAGTATTATTTTATAGGGATTTTTTCCATCTTTTTTTTTATGATCAACAGTTTTTTTTAATGCGGGTAGTTTTACTTTTTTTTATAGAAGCATCTAAATGGTTTTTGACTCCATTTATAGTTTTTTTCATAAGTTTAATTACATTCATGTATGGCGATAAAAAGCTAATATAGCGAGCAGCTATATAGGTAGCTTACTTACTTTTTATAAGTAAAACTCTTTGGTGTACAAAATTAGAATATAATCAAAATGTGTTCAGCTTTATTAGATCCACATGCAAACGAACAGACTAACAAAAATCATTTTTACTTCAAGTAATATAAATGTTTTTTTTAGTACTTTCTCATTTCAAGAAGCAGAAATATTTTCATATATTATTTTTTTCCTACATATTTATCAATAGCTCGATCGTTGGCTAACGTAGAATACACTCAGTTATACACGGGGTTGTATACAAGGGTTTGTCAAATTCTCATCCAAACGGGGTAAAAATATTATAAATGAGGCTTTATAACGTTTTACGTTTATTTAAATGGAGTTAGCTATTTAGAATTTAATTTTTTAATACATTTTCAATCAATTGTATCTATAGTTCAGTTTAAGGCTATTTTAACTTAATTTTCTGAATTTAAATAGAAGTTAAATGTTAGTGCAAAAGTGACCTAACACGAAAATTGTAAAATATTTTATATGTAAAATAGTACAATCTTTTTTAAAACGACTTATAATTTTTTTTGTACATCGAATAATTCTGTCTTTTATTAATTTAATAAATCATTAAACATATCTAAATTGGGCCATTTTTGCATGAAATTTGGGGCATTTTATTGAAGAATTTTTTTTTGAAAATGCTTACAAGCACTTTTAAATTAATTTTTATATATTTTTTTTTACATTTAATAAACACGTCAGTATTGTAGGTCCATGAAGAAGCTTCTATATCAATATCAAATACTATATATAGTATACAGTAAAAGAAATAAAATAAATATGTATATAACGCCATCTAGTGTCCATTCGAAAAAATATTTTACGGTCGTAATAAAGAAGGTCGTAACTAACAATTTGGTCAAAAATGACTTAAATGCAGATTCGGAATCAGCAAAAATAATGCTACTTGATAGTCTCCCCCATAAAAAAAAATCTTATGAATCCGGAGATACCATATCCGTTTTCATCATAGCTACGTATAAACTACTACTAAGTACTAAGACAAAACTTGTCGAATCTCGAAATTAACTTTGACGAAGTTGCGACCTTCTTTTTTATGACGGCAGTATTTGTTAGAGCGATTTATTTTTAAATTTTTATTAAATTTGGCAGTTTAATTTCATATAAGTAAATATGTGGGTTACGCCTTTTTAACATTATTTATATGATAAAAATAGATGTATACAAAAAAAAACCAACTTTGTTGTATTAAATCCTGAAATTAATAACATTGTAACTTATGATTGTAATGATTTTAATTGTGAATTTGGATTTTTAATATGTGAAACTAGTGACTTATCCACGCTTTGCTCGTGTACGTTCCTAGGTGCCTTGTGTATTTATAATATATACCGACAGCGCCTTTTGGTACGGGTGGTTCAATATATAGAATTTTTGGGCTGCAGCCCAGGATCCCTAAGATACAACGGACCCCCTGTTGAGAACAATGATAATATTGTAAATAAAAAAAAATAAAAAAATGAAGACCCTAAGATCAATTAAGCACCAAACAATATCATTATCTTAATTTCATCTAGTACTATCTATCATTATAGATTTTTTAAAGACAAAATGACAGTGGAGGCCCCCAAGAAGTGTTAGCCCAGAGCCCCCCAAATTAAAAATCCGCCTCTGCCTTTTGGCAAATTTTAGTACTAATAATAGCGTATGTGTTACTCCAGATCTTAATCTATCTGTGTATTTAAATTTCATCCAAATCCGTCCAGCCGTTTCAGTTTTAAGGAGTGATAAACAAACATACTTTTGCATGTATAGTAATAGTGTGATTAAGTTTTTTTTAATTATCTCAAAACTGAGTTACAATGTTTATCTTAGCAAGGTTCTAAATCTACCTCCTATACGTTACTGTATTTTTTTTTATTTGGTCCAAACCTTCCAGCCTTTACAATAAGTTAATTATTATTTGAAATAGTAAGATTTGGCCATATTTATAATTTAATTCTGATTTACACCCGAGGTTTCTCAAATTGTGTTAGTTGTACATGGTGGTGTAAATTGTGTAAATAATTTAAAAACTTAATTTGTGGTAATTACAACTATTTTATTCAGAACAAGTTGATCTAAGAGGACTAGTTCATACAAAAATCGTATAGAAAACTCAACACTTATTTTTTCCCCAATTTCCTGATTTTCAGTGTAATTTCAAGTTTTTTTCTTAATTAATAAAATATTTAAAAAAAATATTAGCTAAATCAATTAAAAAAGTTTTTAATGAACCATTGAACAGTATTTCCTTTTTATTTAATTATTTTTTGTTTTTGTTAGTTAAAATAAAAACTGTTGGACCTCGAGACTATACAGTTTGAGAAACATTTTTTAGTTTGTGGAACTAAAAGTTTGAGAAACCCTGGCTCACATAGTTATGGAGTTTTACCCACCACGCTTATCCAAATATATGCATTGTACTAATAATAAATAAAATCTCCCTTTTAATTAATTTTTTTTCGTATTAAATTAATTTATTTTTAGTATAATAATTTTGTTAGGAATAACAAGACTTGTGGTAATACTCGTGTCTGTGGCGATGAAATATGTTTGTAATTTTTGTAATTAAACTTTTTTTATATTTATGTGTTTTATTTTATATCTTTAAATATCAACTATTAAAAGAATGTTGCTATCTATGTCTGTTTGTAACATTAAACAAAATATTTGTTTTTGTAAGCACGTGCTGCACTATATGAGGGTGATGTTATTAACCGACTTCCAAAAAGGAGGAGGCTCTCAATTCGTCGGAATATTTTTTTTTATGTATGTTCACCGATTACTCGAAGATGCCTGAACCGATTTGGAATTTTTTTTTGTTTCAAAGCGTATACTTCCCAGGTGGTTCCATATAAATTTTATCGAAATCGGTTGAGCGGTTTTAAAAAAAATCGACAATAAATTATATGTATAAACGGTATTCTATCTTCATACAAACGGTCGGAACGCGAGTCATACCTACGCGCCTTGCTCTGTACTAAACAAAAGGAAAAGCAATATGTATTTTTATCGAACACTTCCTATTCATTCAAACCAAACTTCATTTTTTTAAATAAAAATTAAATATGAATATGTTGGTACATTAACACACAGCACCATCTAGTTCCATGGTAAGCTACGAGGCTTGTGTTATGGATACCAGATAGTTGTTAAACTACACATATAACTAAATATACATACATACATATTTATAAATATAAACACCCATGACTGGAGTACAAGCATTCGTGCTCATCACACAAACGAATGCCTCCAGCGGGACTCGAACCCGCGACCTCTGGCACAGCAAGTAGGGTCACTACAAACTGAGCCAAACGTCACAATATAATACTTACACTATAACTAGAAAGAAACTCAAATAAGTAGATGAAATTAAAATATTGTGTGCGCGTGTTTACGTAATGCGTGGCTGTAGTAATTATTTCAAGGACAGGGCCGAGTACTGAATATGTAACACTAGCGGTACCCACAGTTTCGCCCACGTTCAATCTTCCGATATAAAGATCAGTTTTACGATAATGTATGGAAGTTTTACCGATTTGTTGACGTTAATTTTATTTGTACACAGAGTACAAATAAAACTTTTCCGTACAACCTCTTTGACACCAGTTAAAGCGTTTTTCTCTCACGATTTATCCCACAGAAATACTTTCATCGCTGGGATAAAAACTAGCAAAAGTCACTCTCCATTGAATAATCTATCCATTAGTAAGAGTTCTATTAAAATTGGCTTAGACGTTATATCGTAAAATTATAAATAATAATTATATATATATATATATATATATATATATATATATATATATATATATATATATATATATATATATATATATTAATTATACCGCTAGTGTTCGATTACTGCTCAACTCCTTTGGGTAGTAGCATGATGATATATAACCTATAGCCTTCCTCAATGAACGGGCTATCTAATGCAAAAAGAATTTTTCAAATCGGATTAGTAGTTCCTGAGATTAGCGCGTTCAAACAAACTCAGTCTCTTTGCTATTACACAAGGGAGCGGTTAATAATAAATGTCAACAAATCGGGCAGACTTTCATATTTTATTATTAATAATTAATAATAATAAATAAAAATATATTGTAAGTGATATTTATAATCAAATTTAACGCAAATGAAACCGCGGGGTACAGGTAGTAAGTTATAAAGGTGGGGTATATGATTGGTAATTATGTATACTCCCTCAACGACCGCGGACACGCCGGCGCGGCGTTACAGTTAACAATAGATTTCTTAGAAATTTCATTAATTTCTTAGAAATGTACCTGGAGGTGATATACAAGATGGGGGTAAATAAAACAAATGTTATTAATTATTATTAAAATGTCATTTTATATTCTTAATCTTAGAGAAAAATAGAAAGTCACAAATTATAAAAAAACATATTTAAAATTAATCTACATTTCACAACACAAATGAAGAATTATAAACATAGGAAATTGTAAAAGACTGCTTGTGATTAATTAAAAAAAAACTATTTTTATAAAAAAAAAATTAGACCTATTCTATAACATTTGTGTGGTCCATAGCAATTTCATCACGCGGGATTCGAACCCGCTACATAGGTAATGTTAGTCACACACAAATTGATCGCAACCTACACAATTTCCTATATTTGTATACTAGTCAAGTAAATTAAAGTACACAAAAAATATCATCTAGACACAAAAACACAAAAAGATATATCAAAAATAATCATCATATCAATTTAATTATTAAAAATAACCAATTGAAAATTAAAATTATCCATAATCTTATAAAATAAAAAATGTAAAAAAAATTTAAAATGTCACAGCGACATTAAAATAGGCGGGAATCCGCCATTTTGTTTGTCATAAAACAAACGTCAACATTAAAATGCAGTTTTGAAGGGATAATTCTTGTGAGTATCACCCATCCTGAAAAAAAGAACATATAATTAGGATAGAACGGTTTAGCCGATTTTAATACAACTTTTTTTTAATTTTTATCCGTCTGTTTCGTCTGAACTCCAAAACGGCTGGACTGATTTCGACGGGACTTTCACTGGCAGATAGCTGATGTTATAAGGAGTAACTTAGGCTACTTTTCTATAAGCAAAAGGATAGGGTACCACGCAAAATAATAAAGCCCATGAAATTGTGACCAAAATCCACGTCCTACTAAAGACTAGGGATGCACCCAAGCAAAGATAGAAAGCAATGGGATAGAAAGTAATTAGTATAAAATAGTACTATATTACCCTTTAAAAGTAAACGTGCGTTTGTTTTTATTAAGCGCGTCTAAGGCGGACACCTGAGTCTGGTTGAGCTTCAGGTCGAGCGCTCGCAGGTTGTCCCACAGGTGGGCGCCGGTGGAAGACTTTACCACTACGTTACGGCCATGGTGTAGCTGGTAGCTAGCATGGATGACAAATAAAATAAATGAATTAGTTCCATACGAGCTCTTGGTGCATCTATCTATCCCTTTCATTTGCTTGGTAACTAGCATGCTATCTCTACATGTGGCGACAACGAGTGGGACAACAACTTATTTCTGTCGCAGTTACATACGTCACTACTGTGACGTCACTGCAATATTTTGTCATTTTTGAAATTTTCAAGTTTTAATCGTTGTTTATTACTGGTAGTTAGAAATATAGAATAATATCGAAACTATATATCCGTACTTAATATTATAAATATGAAAGTGTGTTGTGTGCAATATAGAGTATCAGAAGTAGGATAATTATAAGGTTTTTTATTTTTTTTTAATATTTTTACCAAGTTTAAAAGTTATTTTACATTTTATTTAACATAAACATACGAGTACATTACATATAATTCAGTATTAATTTTATTATTTTTCACTTCCTGTGTAATGACAGTAACAACGGTTACCATGGCAACATGGCAATGTATTCTGTCTCATTCTCTCGCCTACATATTTATGTGTTTGTCTCTTTTTAGTGTCGCAATTCCGTTTCATTGAGTTTCAAATCACAACGATTAAGAAGTTTCACTTCAATAAAAAAAATCACTCACGCAATAAGCAACTGAGCAGGTGTGACTCCTAACCCTGCAGCCATGACCTGCACCAAGGGGTCATCAATCACTGCGGAGGTCGCACTCTTCAGATCCTTAGGGGTCCCCTTAGATCCCAACACGCTAAAGCAGCTAAGTTTCATGTTGCGAGTGGTGCAAAAATCTTCCAAGTTATGTTGATTTAAATAGGGATGGCATTCGACCTGTGCGAGTAAATTCATTTTGTTAATTGTCTGGTCTGTGTTGTGTTTTTTAACTCTGTGTGTGTGTCTGTCTGTGGCATCGTAACTCTCAAACGGATAAACCGATTTCAGTCCGTTTTTTTTTAATTTGAAAGCCAGTTTCCTTGCGGTGATTCTTAGCTATGTTTGGTTAATATCGGTCCAGCAGTGTAAGAGTATCAGCTCTTTTCCAAAATGATGTAAGGCATTTTGGCGTATGATTACTCGATTAAGTGCTTCACGCATGCCAGTGTAATCGTTAAATTTGCGTAGGGGTTTTTTTAATTTTTAATTTTTCTAGTGCCTAATGCATATGTAGAATGTTTGTAAAGCTAGCATGGCTAAATAAACAGTAATTAGCCACTTATTCTCGTTTTGCTCGGGTACGTTGCTAGGTACACGAATTTAGTCCACAATTGGACCCAGTTATGCAAAAAACAGCCATGTGCGTAAAAGTACCAACAGTTATAAGCATTTTTCTGTCGATAGTTGCACTTGGGTTATGTTTTGTTTTTCTGGTTATTTTAAAATTGAACAATATTTATATAAGTATTGTTTATTTTTTATAATTATTTTATTTTTTATTATAAAATGCTTATAACTCTGTTGGTACTTTTACGCACATGGCTGTTTTTTGCATAACTGGGTCCAATTTTAAGGGTTTTAATTTTTTTTGCGCTGAATTTTGTTTTTTTCTAAAATACAAGTAGACTAAGTTACTCCCTATAACATCATCTATCTGCCAGTGAAAGTCACCTTAAAATCGGTCCAGCCATTTCGGAGATTAGTTAAAACAAATAGACAGGCAAAAATTAAAAAAAAAATTTTTCTTATTAGTATATACTTTTATATGCATTTAGTATAAAGCTGTTATTTTGTCACAACATACTCGTAGATACATATTTTCTAACAAATATCTCTTCATAAATTTCCGTCGACATATTAAGTCAAACCAATTGTCTACACACAAATTCGAACTTACGCACACCACATAAAGTACTTTCTTAAACGAAACAACGTGTCTTTTAATTTTGTCATTCGAAAAGCAATGAACAAAAGAGATTTGAAAAAAACCTATCATTTTGAATAGTGCACTTCTTTTTGAGGACACTTTTGAGACGCAAAGAAGACTTGTGTATCTAGATTAGATTGAACATAAGAAATGTGTGCATTTTATGTCACCCACTTTGGGATAATCCTGTTTTATTGCAACTAGATCTAAGCTAGTTTTATGGACCCAGAATCCAAAACCTTTAAATTACCTGATTAATCACTGGCTTGATCTTCGCTTTCTCTATGATCCTGTCAACTTGGGCCGAGTTAAAGTTGCTGAGGCCGACTCTCTTCACCAGACCCTTGGCTACAACATTTTCCATTCCATACCATGCTTCTAAGTAGTCGTATTGCGAGTATTGGAGCACGTTGGCGATTTTGGGCAGTGGGTTCGAGCCTTCCTGTTTACAGAAAATTGGTTTCAATTGATTGATTGAATTATAAGTCAAATTATTGATAGAGGGAAGATGATGAAGTGAAAGAAGGAGAAGTATTATAGGAAGTAAAAAACAAAATGTATAATGAGAATTATAATTGTTAGATATTTGTTTTAGAATGTCTGTTTGACTTCAGAATAGGCTCAGTTTTTTTTAGTAAGTTTTTACCTGAAAATGACCTTCGTTTGATAATTTCAAATTGTCTTATAATTTTTACCACACTATATTTTGATGACACGTTTGGCTCAGCTTGTAGTGACCCTACTTGTTGTGCCGGCGGTCGCGGGTTTGAGTCCCGTTGAGGGCATTCATTTGTGCGCTGAGCACAAATGTTCGTACTCCAGTCATGGGTGTTTATATTTATAATATATATGTACATATTTAAAGTTATTTATGTGTATTGTATCAACTATCTGGTATCCATAACACAAGCCTCGTAGCTTACCATGGAACTAGATGGTGCTGTGTGGTTATGTCCCAACATATTTAAATTTATTTAAAATTCAGCTCAAGTAAACTGTTTTTCTTTTTGACAATGACTTAGTTTCAGGATTCCAAAACTCACCCTAAAAGACATGGGGTTGTGTATCATATACAGGTCGAAGTATTCTAACCCCATGGAATCCAGGGAAAGGCGACACGCCGTCTCAACCAGGTCGCGGCGATGGAACGTGCTCCAGAGTTTGGAGATGATGAAGAGGTCCTCTCTGAGAAATTTAAAACAAGGCTTGATACTAGCAGATTTCCAAAAATATTTTTAATCTGCTCCAAAGCCTTTCAACAACACTTTTGTTATTGGCTAGTTTTGATAGAGTATTAAGTAACATTAATAAATATTTACATTTATTAAAAACTGTATGCAAAGTATTTGTATAATATTACCAGTATGCGATACTTCGTTCTTTGATGATTTTTTTTTTGGATTAAGGAAGTATAATGGCTAAAATGAGGTCCTAGGTTCGAGTTCCAGGTCAAGCCAAGTATAGTTCTTTAGTATTTGATCTACTCCCCTTCGCTTTGAGGGGAGGTCCAATCCTAGCAATATCATGACAAAAGTTCAGAAAACTTCGTAGTCCTCGAAAGACCAATTTAGAGATTAGAATCCATCATTTAGCATCCTAATCTCCTTACTCTTTCACTTTTCATTGCAAACTCACCTCTTAACTGTGCCATCTTCTATCTTACTCTTGATAGCTTCTCCTATCTCCTTCTCATTTCCATAAATAAATGCTGTGTCGATAGCTCTATACCCGAGATCGATTGCAGTTGATATTATGTGTTTAATTAGTTTTGGTTCGAGCTGGAAATTAGGAGAAAACTTTTTTTAATAGAATAGAATATTTTTTTATTGACACAATTGTTTTTTCTTACATAAGCCTGTTGAAGCCCCTGTTTTCCAAACTAGATAAAACTTGTATGTGAGGATTCAGAAATATACAGAAAATACACACACATACACACACACACACATGCATACATATATATATATATACATATACAGACACACACACACACACATATATATATATGACAAATTCATAAAAGACTCCATTTTCCAAGCAATAAATAAGAAAGTCTTAAAAGTTAGTCAGCCAAAAGAAGCGATGTGGCAACACTCAAACAGTTTTTACATGACGTTTTATTTCGCCTAATTCGATTTAAAAGAATATGTTGAATTAATTGTATATGTTATGTAATTTAATTATGTTTTGAGCGTTGAATTTTTGTATATTCAAAAAACACAATTACGTTTCAAAAGTGTCCTCAGAAACGGCGAACTTGTGTGGGAAAATACTCAAAGTAAAAGACAGTGAAATTTGCTTCTTAAATAATTTATTAACTTTTTCCGTCTTAGCTCGTTCACACCGTCTTACACACTATCTTCCATCTTGCATCTTTCGTTCCTTTCTCTCCCATACCTGTTGTTCCTTTCACTCACTCTTACGTTCCGTTCCCCACATTTGAATTACGCTACTTTCAAATCTCATAGTTTCGTTTACTTTCTGTGGTGTGCGTAAGTTCGAATTTGTGCTTAGACAGTTACAACTTTCGATTTTTGAATGTTATTCTTCGGTTTGACTTAACTGATAAAAAATATAAAAAAATATCGTTATTTTTGGCATATATATATATATATATATATATATATATACACACTATATATATATATATATGTATATATATATATATTCATGTAGGTAAAGCGATCTTTTCGGATTTTTTGGGCGGATTTATTTTGATTTTTCAACCGACTTCAAAAAGGAGGAGGTTCTCAATTCGACTGTATGTTTTTTTTTTTTTTTTTTTTTTTTTTTATGTTTGTTACCTCAGAACTCCGTCATTTATTAACCGATTTGGACAATTTTTGTGTCGTTTGAAAGGGTATGCTTCCAGATTGGTCCCATTTAAATTTCAAAAAAAAATACCACCCCTAAGGGTGGAAAAACAACTAATGATGAATTTAACCTACTTCTAATTGTCATATTGACTTGAAACTTTGCAAGTATTTCTATTTCCGTTGATAGTACAGTGGTTCGGTGTTGTTGACCTGATCTGATGGCAAGGCCAGAAGGTGGATAGGTGGAACTCTTCAACGGCTAATAGTAGATACTTTGAGTTGGGGCTTATTTTGTTTGATTTGACAAGCCTAACACGTTAGAATCCTTACTTTTCTACTACTGTCTACACTAAAAAGGGAAAAATAAAAACTTTTTAACAAAAAAATAAAAACCGACTTCAAACAAAAGCACTAAAAAGTAAAAAATAACTGATTGGTAGTTTTCATTTACAATACATACCTAATCAAATATTTTCGAAGTCGGTGTGCTTTGGCTAAGTAATTAAAGTCTACCTATTAAATACATACCAAATCAAATATTTTCGAAATCGGTGCCAGCCCATACAAAGCAAAGCACACCGACTTCGAAAATATTTGATTAGGTATGTATTGTAAATGAAAACTACCAATCAGTTATTTTTTACTTTTTAGTGCTTTTGTTTGAAGTCGGTTTTTATTTTTTTGTTAAAAAGTTTTTATAGTTTAACGCCACATGTCGATGAATCTTTTTGAAGAGATTTGTTAGGAAATGTGTATCTATGTTTTTGCATATCGATGGTTTCGAGATTTAACACTCGTGTATATAATAATTTAATCGATGGTATTTTTTTGTCCCGTACTCCAAAACTATTTTTATTGTACAAATTATTCTAATTTTAACATTAATTTATATTATGATTATTTAATTATAGTACTTAATATGTGTAATTCTTTAATTTAATTTAATCTATCATAAATATTTATTAGAAATTGTATTTAACATTTCATATATTATTGTTTTAAAGCCGGAAATGTAATTAATGATGTGTATGCCTATAATTAATGCTTGTACTAGAATAAGTAATCTTATAATATAATAATTCAGAATGTAGGTACAATGTATTGTTGGCATATCTTTTAAATAAATAAATAAATAAACCCCATGGTTATAACATAAACTTACCAAAGCCGTACCAACAGCTAGTACAGGCATGAGCGAACCATCCCTCAGTTCAATCGTCGGCATATTTTCCCACTTCCCATACTTTGCTTTCGCAGAATTAAGTTCTGCTATTCTCTCTTGGAATTCTTCTTCACTTATTAGACCGATCTCTGGCACTTTCTCATTTGACCGCCCTCTATCGGTTTTTGTCACATTTTCCACTTTATCTGGAACTACTTTCTTCTGAAATAATAAAAAAAAAATTGTTTTAAAATAAAAAGTAATTCTTTAAATATTCCGCCCAACGCCTACTAAACTTAAACAGAACCAATCTCAAAATAATGATAGGGACAATAACGGACCACTGTCCCTTAAACAAACACTTATTTAACATTGGCGCAACGGACAGCCCTCTCTGCAGAGGGTGTTTTAGCGCTGTAGAATCAGTCGCTCACGTAGTCCTGGAATGCGTAGCGGTAACTTCTCAACGAAATGAAATCCTCGAACCGGTGAGGTCGCTCCGCGAAGCCTGTGAAGCTCCCAGGAAGCTTTTGCGCTTTTGGACGGAGTTAGGCTGGCTGAACTAGCCAGGATTCGCAACGTACAACGGACCAAATGCGAGTCTAAGTGCGGAAAACGAGTCCAATATACAATACAATATCCGCCCTTAGTGAAATTTAATGAAAATTAACTATGAATTAGACTTCTACAAGCAATTTTGAACGTAAATTAATAAAAAATGGTCAGTGTGGTCAGTCCGTGAGTGTGCTACCACCTTTACAGCATCTTTTAAAAACCGAGTAACAGTGTTTTTGCAGCTATCCTGCATACGAATGTATTTATTTTAATTCCACAATTTTCATCAACAAGAAAAGTCTCTTGTACAGAGTACTATGCTTTGCTCAATAATATATTTTTTAGCGGATTTTCCTCATACGGTTACGTCATCTTTTGGCATATTTTATGAATAACAGCAAATTATGTGTTATTTCAGGTGACAATCTATCTAGTTTATTAATCTATCCAACTATTTCGACATGAAGGTTTTTACTTTTTAATAGTAGTCTATAGGTTCATGCTTAGATTTCTAGTTACGTTTTAGCGTTTTGTATAGATTTCTCAGAGATGAGATATTTTCCTGCAGTAAAAACTATCCTATATGTTGACCCGGATAATCAGCTATTCATCATGCTAAATTTCATCAAAATCTGTCCGGTGGTTTTCTCGTAATGCGTTTCCAGACAGACTGACAGACAGACAAAAATTGTAAACTATAGATTCGGCCTCTGTATCGATAATAATGACTATTTCAATAAGAGTTTCCAAAAAAAATTAATTTACAGATTCCGACTTAGAATTTTATTATATGTATAGAAGAAGATAGATATATCTATGTAGATAAAACGATATTTTCGGATTTTTTTTGCGGATTTATTTTGATTTTAGTTCCCGACGTTTCAAATGCATTACAGAAATGTTCACGGGAGTGACCACGATTGCTGTAAAAAGTCCGAAAAAAATCGGAAAGATAATTATTTAAAATGTTTGTTTTTTTTTGCGTATTGTTGAATTTGCGTAAATCTAAGAAAGAATTTTGCAAAATGAATTTATTTATTTGTCCTTTCTTTATAAATTTGAAAATATTAAAAATAAAATTGGCATGCACATACCACATGGCATAGAGAGAGGTCTGGTTCCAGGTCCATCAAATGATATGATATATATAAAGTAAAATAAATGACTTTGAATATAATAACGTGCACGATTTTAATTACAATATGTACCAACTTATTTTGACTAGAAACCAAATATCTGTATTTATACAGATATTTTTATGTATATATATACAGGTACAGGAAATGTAAAATATCTGTATATCTGTATATATATAGAGATATTTTTGTGTTAAGATATTTTCATTATTATTTACATTTCACGCACTCAAAACAACAAATTTTAAATCCTTTTTACAAAACAAAAGATCGTACACTGAGTTCTTTACTTCGTAATGGAAATAACATGAAAATGTTAGTATTTAAATTAAAAACATAATTATAGAAAATGACTTAAAATTGTCTAACTCATTAAATATTAATTTCGTTTGTAGGTGACATTGTACTAACGTTTGTCTACGGGTTTGTACGTTTTTTGAAGTAAAACTTGTTTAGGCGTGACTGAGAGGTAAGTCAATAGGTACATTGGAAAAATTTGAATCGCGGAAGTGAGAGTCAAATTTATTATTAATAATATTTAAAAAAAGTATTTATTTATTTATTTATGTACCAGAAAAAAAAACATACAAGTTAAAACAGATGCCATGTGTACAAAGGATGACTTATCTCTTTAAGAGATTTCTACCAGAAACCCTCAAGCGTGAGAAAATATAAAAATAATAATGCGGTGCGGTGTAGGTACAAACTACAAACATCAATTATAATATAAATATACATATATACAAACATACATACATACGTACATAGATACATACATACATGTTTACATAGATACTTACATACATACATGTTACATATATATATCCATACAAGTATTATATGTAAATAAAAATTATTATAAAAATATAAATTTTTTATAATAATTTTTATTTACAAAAATATATACTTCATATAAAAAATTTTAATAGTAATTATTACATTAATAAAATGAACATTTATTACTAATAATTAAAATAATATATTATATTTATATATTATTTGTTTTAATTTAATTGCGTTATCTGCCACAACGCAAAAGAAGTTTTACTTCAACCGTAAAGGTTATTTTATTTTTACTAAAGTAGTCGAAATCTATACAGATAAATAAAATTGAAGTTTGTAATGTCAAAATAACAGCGTTTTACTAAATGCATATGGAATTATATACGGTATTTATAAGAAAAACACCATTTTTAAAAATTTTGTCTATCTGTCTGTCTGTCTGTCTGTTTGTTCCGCATAATCTCTGAAACGGCTGGACTGATTTAGACGAGACTTTCACTGGCAGATAGCTGATGTTATAGCGAGTAGCATAAATTACTTTTGTTTTAGAAAAAGAATTAGGGTTCTGCTTAAAAAAAATTAAACGTAACGAACATAATCTTAATCGAAAATTTGCTATTATATAGATAGGAAAATATCATATATAAATAATATCATATAGAAAGAAAAAACAATTATTGTTTCTAAATATTTTTATCGATTTCAAGGCTCAATAGCTATTAAACAAAAAAAGAAAATCGATTGACAATCCTTAAAGTTTAACCTATTCGTTCAAAAGATCATCATGAAAATCGATTCACATTTTGATCGATTATTTCAATGTACTAATTTATGTCGCTCAAAAAGAATTAAAACTAAAATTACAAGCGTCGAACATCGTATGAAGTATATGTTAGTATCTTTAGTGTGGTAGCAAAAATATAACAAACTACTTTTTGACCGCCGGCTTCGGGTGAACGGGATCAAAAGTAGCCTAGGATGCAATCTATATTCTTATTAAATTTTATCAAAACCAGTTAACAGACAGAACTACATTTTAAATAGTCTGTAACAATTATATAACGCCTTTGAGACGTCTAAAACTTTCGTCTCTCCCGTGACCATGAATGCTGTAATGCATTCGAAACGTCGGGAACCAAAAATCCAAATAAATCCGCGAAATAATCCGAAAAGATAATTTTATTTAAAACTAGCATTGCCCGCGGCTCCGCCCGCGTTCAGATGATCAAAAACTAAATTCTTAGGTTTTACATATTAGTATACTCTTACATTGCAGTTTTTGTATTTTTTCTCAGAAATGAGACATTTTCCCGCGGTAAAAAGTATCCTATATGTTGACCCTGATAACCAGCTATCACCATACCAAATTTCATCAAAATCCCTCCAGTGGTTTTTCTGTGATGCGGTAACAGACAGACAGACAAAAATTCTAAAAACTATAGATTCGGCCTCTGTATCGATAATAATGTCTATTTCAATAAGATTTTCCAAAAAATATCTAATGTACAGATTCGACTTAGAATTTTATTATATGTATAGATGTCAAATATTCGCGTAAATCTAAGAAAGTATTATAACAGAATTACTTTCACATTTATAATATTAGTGTGGATTTCAATAAAAAAATTTTTTTTTACTCACAAGTAGAAACGTCACAGCAATAAACCAAATAAACTTCATTGTTGTTAAATAAATCACTAAAGTGTCAATAACATTGTTCAAGAGAGATGTCATGGAGAAAAATTGAACTACCCTCGATTGGAAAATTAGAAATTTTTGCAAAGTGGGGGTAGAAAGAAAAGGTTAAATATTCATGTTGTAACTATTTATTCTTTATATATATAATTCTTCTGTGAGTGTGTATGTCACTGAACTTCTCTCAAACGACTGGACCGATTTTGATGAAATTTTTTTGTGTGTGTTCAAGGGGATCTGGGAATGGTTTAGATTCACAATTTGAATAATAATTTTCATTAAAAAAATTTATTAAAAAAAGTTTGAAATTTTCAAATTAAAGACGTGTAGACAGGACAACGTCTGTCGGGTCCGCTAGTATCATATAATAAATTGACTGTACTGTCTGTAACAACTATACAGGATGGAACAAATCAATGGGACATGGAAGAAAAATACCTTAAATATTGAAGTTATCAAGATTTATTCAAAGGACTCATTATTTGTATGTATGTATGTATGGATATATATATATATATATGTAATATGTATATATATGTATGTATGTAAGTATCTATGTAAACATGTATGTATGTATCTATCTATGTAAACATGTATGTATGTATCTATGTACGTATGTATGTATGTTTGTATATATGTATATTTATATTATAATTGTTGTTTGTAGTTTGTACCTACACCGCACCGCATTATTATTTTTATATTTTCTCACGCTTGAGGGTTTCTGGTAGAGATCTCTTAAAGAGATAAGTCATCCTTTGTACACATGGCATCTGTTTTAACTTATATGTTTTTTTTCTGGTACATAAATAAATAAATATTTTAAAAAATAATAATACCTGCATTTTTTTTAAAAAAGGTAACCTGAACCGGGAATCGAACCAAATAAAAATGCAAAAAAAATACAGTCGAATTGAGAACCTCCTCCTTTTTGAAGTCGGTTGAAAAAGGACACTGTTACTATTTTATCGAATTAATCGATAATTCGATTAATCGATATGGGAAGGATAAAATCTGCCATGTCCCATCGATTTGTTTCATCCCCTGTATATGTAATGACCGAGACGCTTAGAACCTCAGTCTCTCCCGTGACCATGTGCACTGTAAAGTATTCGAAACGTCGGATTGTATTACGTCGGATAACAAAAATTAAAATAAATCCGCGAAAAGATCCGAAAAGATAGTTTTATTTAAAATATTTACAACTTATTCGCCTTTTGACAAAGTATGATACTAAAAATTTATAAAAACGATTTTAGCATCTTTTCTAAGATTCCGAGTAGATATCGATTTAAATATTCAATTACAAATAAAAACTTCAAGCATAGATAAATATATCATAAATTGTTGTTAGAGAAATATTTTTTATTTTTAATCCACTACGTAAGAAGAGTGTTATAAGTTGGATTGGAATGTGTGTCTCATGTCTGTATGTCTGTCTGTGTTATCGTAGACCTTAAGCGGATGAAGCAATTCGAATGGAATTTTCTTTATCGTTCGCTTTATTTTGCGTCATTATAATACGTTAAATAATTATAAATTAAAATAAAAAAAAAAACCCGTACACAAATTAATTGTCATTTAACGATTACACTGGCACGCGTGAACTTAATCGAGTAATCATACGCCAAAATGCATGATCATTTTGGAAAAGAGCTGATACTCTTAAACTGCTGGACCGATATTAACCAAACATAGCTAAGAACCACCGCAAGGAAACTAGCTTTCAAATGAAAAAAGACCCATCGAAATCGGTCCATCCGTTTGAGAGTTACGATGCCACAGAAAGACACACACACACACACACACACACACACACAGACAGGCACTCCCCTTTTTGCGGGGTTTGGGGTTAAAAACTAAGAAAATTATAGTCTTCTTTATTGTATAATACCACAGATTACTAAATAGTTATAACAAATGATTTAACTTTCAACATTATAAGCAAAGCAATATAAGTTAAGTAAGCAATATGTAGTAATTCCCTCTCATAGCACAGATTATATAAATTATAATTCTTCACGTAAGATTATTATCTTATATACTTAAAACCTTATTATTATAACCTTAAAACTCGTCAATAGTTACTAAACAAAACAAAAAAAGAAAATTGTTTGACAAACAGAGCAGAAAAAGGTACTGAACTGTTATGTCTTTGCCTATTTATATGTATACTAGCGGCTCACCCTCGCTTCGCTCGGGTCTGCGTCTGGAAAAACGAAAACGAATCTATCCCACGCGAACCATATATATTTCCGGAATAAAAAGTAACCTATGTGCTATTCCAGACTATAATCTATCTCTGTGCCAAATTTCATCCAGATCCGTTTAGTCGTTCTGGCGTGATTGAGTAACAAACATCCAAACATCCATCTAAACTTTCACATCTGTGATATATGAAGGCAGTGGTGGATTTACTAGCAGGCTAAGTCTAGGGCGGGAAATTTTAGGGGCGGCAAATTTAGGGCAGAATTCTTGTTAAGCGTCTTGCAGAAATAAGAAAGATTACTGTAATAAAAACGTAACATGAGTAAGCTTTGATTAGCTCAAAAATATACCCAAAAATATACCTAATAATATTTCTTTTGTCATGTCGACTAAACTGTTGTATTTTAAAAATAACCAAGGCACTGTTAGTTATCGAGGTGATGGCGGCAAACATTTAACAGCCTATTAGTTGGAAAATGTATAAATACGCCACTATTAGTCCAATCGGAATCCGGTTTGGGAACGAAATATTGAAAACCTGAAGTTTTAGGATTTTAAAATGTTAGCAGGTATATAAGAAATAGAAATTCGTAAAATGTCCCACATGCCCAGCTACTCCCGAGAAATGGGGGCACGCATAGCGTTGAAAAATAGTTTTTTTTCAATTTCCGGCTTACTGTGACGTTCTATCGAAAAATGTTCGATATCAGTGAACCTTCTATTTCTGAAGTCGGTCAAAAATTAAAAAAATAAGCAACTTTTTTTCTATTTTCTCTTCCTTATTCTTTTAGGTTATTATTCTTAGGCGGAGATAAAAAAATGTTACACTTACCTCGAACACTGCAGCTCTTGACAAGACCGATCTTTTTGGCCTATTTCTTTCCAGCTCTCTTCTCTCCTTATTTATTTGTTCTATAGAATTCATTCTAAGAACCATTTGTCTAACTCTCCCTTTCATTACATTCTCTAAATCTAATTGCGCCAGAGATTTTGCTCTTTTGTCTTCTTGTAATTTCTTTTTGTTTTTATTATCAAAAATATTTCTATCACTGTCACCTTCAAAATGTAACTCTGCTAATGATTTTGTTCTATTATATTCATCTTTGATAGTTTCTTTTTTATTTACTTCTATACTATTAAATTTTCTTTGTTCTTCTCCATTTATTTTTGATATATTTTCATATATTTTGTTTATTTCTCTCTTTTCTCCTTCGCTCGGTTTTGATATATTTTGATTTATTTCTTTATCTATTAAATTTTCTTGATTAATTACATCTTTTAAGTTTAATTTTGAGTTCATTTCCAAACTTTTTAATCTTCTTAGTACAGACGAATGAACTTTATTAAATACTGTATGGTAATCAAATTTATTTTCTTTATTATTATCATAGATATCCAATATAGTGTCTCTTGTTATAGTTTTTTCAGTAATAATATTTTCATTACATTTTAGTATTTCGTCAACGATTTTTGGTTTATCATCATCTGTAGTTTCATTAGTAGCTATATTTTGTAAACCATTTTTGAGATTTTCTGATTCATTATTCTGCAAATATAAAATTATGATTACCATATGAAATATGAATACGAAAGAAAGAACTGCTTCGGCTTATGGTTGAAAATGTGGAGATCCTGGGTTCGAGTTCTGAATTGATATCGGGTTAAAATATAGTTATCAGTTGGGAATTTCTTTGTTTTATAATATATCATCCATTTACATTATTCGTTTTAAGCAGGATTCGAACCTGCAATTTAGGCACTATAGATTTATAGTTCCATGATACTAACAAAAAAATATACTTACTTCAAAAATAGCAATTTTCGAGTCGATAGATATATTTTTTGGTATATCATTCTCTGTTTTTTCTATTTTTACTTCTCTAGAATCCAAGCGACTTATTATTCGATTTACCTTTCCTCTTAAAATTATTATGTCTTCTTCATTTAATTCATCGATATTTTCAATTTGGGATGAAATTTTATTATTTACATTAAGTGTAATGCTATTTATTTCTTTATCATCTTTAAGCTTATCACTGACAATATTAAGAGGTTTATTTGCGGTAACTTTATTTTCTTTTATAATGTTATCTGTTTTGTTTATATTTCCTGTTATACTTTCGATTCGATTTGCTATTTTTTGAGCTATCACTCTGTTGTTTGTTTTAGATTCGCCTTCTGTTTGTAAATTTGGGTGTAATGAAATAAATGTATTTTTAGAATAGTCTTTAGCTTCAAAATTTTTATTATTGTTTATTTCTTTAGAATCATATTTAACTTTGTTTGTATTTTCGGATTTTGTTTTAATATCTTCACTAGTTTTATTTTCACTTTCTTCATTATTTTTAAAGCTTGTATTGTCTTTTTTCTGGATATCAATTAAATTTGTTTCGGTTCTGATCGTTTCTAATTTGTGAGCCTCACCACTTTTGACTAGCTCTGTCATATCTGATTTAATTTCATTATGGTTTTCTTTAGAAATAATATTTGATATTATTTCCTTTTCTTTCATTTTGATATTGGAATTATTTAAACTATCTTCTGAATCGCTTATTTCATTATTATTTGTATTTTCAGTTTTAAAATCAATTGAACTGTCATATTCAAGAGTTGATACTCTTATAGTTTCTTTAATTTCTGTCTTTTTAATAGTTTGACTTTCCACATCAGTTTTTGAGATTTCAGTTATTATATTGTTATCATTAATTGATTCTTTAATTTCATCACTATTTTTTATAGAAGCTAAGTCCATATTTATGTGGTTATTTTCACTTGAAAACAAGTTTTTGCTTAAATTGTCCCATTGAGTACTTGTTACTGTAAAACTTCTTGTAACAGTTTGAGAATTAGTACTATGGTTGGTTTCTTGAATTTCATTAGAAGATATTTGACTATTTTCACTTACACTAATTCCGCTTTGGGAAATTTTATTATCTGTATTTATTATAGATTGATTTTCTTGGGCTGAAATTTGTTGATTGGTCAATTTTTCTTCAATCTTTTCACTATTTTTAATATCTCTTGTTTCTCCTTGATGGTCTTGTAATGCTTTTTCAATTAAATCCCTTGAAATCCTATGAGTTTCATTAGCTTCTGTGTCAAGGGAAGATTTAGAAACTTCACTTGTAGTATGCTGGCTTACAATTTTCTCAATAATATTTGATTTAGCCGGGAGTTTATTTAATGTAGCTGAATTAAGTTTCTGTATTTTATCCTTTGTATGTGATTTCACTGGAATTTTACATTTTGAGACTTCGTTACTTGTAGTCGGTAACTCTTTAGAAGAAACGTTTGAGTGTTCCATTTCAATACTTTGCTGAGTTTTTATAGTTTTTATAATCATTTTACTTTCAAATGATTCAGTTTTTTTGTCTAAATCAGACTCTAATTTATTTATTGTAGAGCAAGTTTCAGGGTTTTTGGTATGTGCTAAATCGATTTTAGCGGTCGATTTTGATTGTATCGGAATTTTTGAGTCATCTATTGAAATGCTCTTTTTCAATGAGCTTCGCCTGTTAATTGGTAGTTTAATCTCCTGTTCACTTTTACGCTTAAGTAGTGGTATTTTACTTTTCGGTTTTTCAGTATTTGTTTCTACTTTTTCCGAACCGTTTCCAACTTTTTCAGTATTCGTTTTTTCTTCTGTACTCATTTGTACTTTTTTAGTACTCATCTCTATTTTATCATTATTATTCTCTATATTTTCAGTATTAATATGTACTTTTTCAGTACTTGTTTCTACTTTTTCATCATAAGCGTGTATTATTTCCTCAAATATGGAATCAACTATTTCAGCATCTCTTAGACTTTCTGGTGTTGAAATCCTGACATCCGCATTGTTGTCTTTAGTTTCTTCATATAATTTATCAAATTCATCATCGAGTTTTTGAGAATCTTCTTTGTGTTTAAAAAAAATTTCTTTAATTTCTTTTAGTCTTGGTATAGAAGATGTTATTTTGATGTCAAGATTTGGCTGCAAGAATAAAATTAAATTGAAGAAATCTATATCTTTTCCTAAAATTGTTACATTTGAAAAATATATATACTCGTATGTTATTTCTTTTAATTAAATCTAAAAAAATGCCATTTTAATTGTATTCAAAATATTTTTGAATAACAAACCTCATCATGGGTAATTCTTTCTTGAATGATTTGTTCTTCTTTTTTAATTTTGTCAACAGCTTGCTTAAACTTTCGTTTCGGTATTCTAGTTTTCCTTGAGACCTTTTGATCATCATTTCCATTAACACCTTCAAACATAAAAATATCTACACTACATTAAACTTGTATTCAAAAAACTAGTTAGCCCCTTGATTGAAAATCGACCATAATTCATTTAGTTTGAACTTTAATTTTTTTTAATGTTACATAGTAGCGTTTAACTATAACATTTTTCAATAAATTAATTAAAAAATGTAAAATTTAATTTTCATATTAATTTTTTCATTTAATGCAAACAAATTAAAAAAGCTAATCTTGCAATTCATCCATTGATTTATACACAAATAAAGAAATATAAATTCGTTAATTCTTTTCCTACAAACAAAATTTAAAGATATACAAATAATGTATTGTATTCAGCAATCTTTAACGTCCTACTACTGGGCATGGGCCTCCAATGCGAGGGGATCAGGAATAGAACATTTTCTGTATTACTGCACTAGATAATAGTTTGGTATATTGATCAACTTTAAAAAGACCCACTGTTGGGGTAGACCTCCCTTCAATGCGAGAGGGAACAGACTATAGTCCATCATATTGGCTAAGTGCGGGGCGGACTCACATGTCCTTCGAAATGACTTGCTAGGTTCTCTCAGACATGCAGATCTCCTCACGATGTTTTCCTTCACCATAAGACAAGTGATAATTATGTTGGAAATAATTCACAGGTGAGAATATCAGAGGTGCGAGATTAATTTGAACCCGCTTCAATTGGCTTCCCAAGCTAGCACTACTGTGCTACTATTACCTATCTACACACACAATATTAAAACAAATTTTAGTATTTACTATTTAAAACAACTTACTCTTATCATTGTCGGTAGTGAAACTTCCTTGTTCTGATTTGACAGATACATAGACTTTGCTCTCCACTCTTGAATCATCATTTGTTCCTCTCGTTTCAATAACGCTGGTTGATCTATTAATTTTTATCGAGTCGTCCTGAAATTTAATTTTCACATGCATTTATAAATATTTTAAGGAAAATATGTAAAGAGTTTTATTTATTTAACTAAAGACTCGACTTCGTCCCTAGCTTGCTTCCCAATACAAAGTTTCATCCCCACTTAAACCACCTTGAGGGATGATTTCCGGGATAAAAAGTATCCTATGCCCTCCGCCAGGTCTCAAACTATCTTCTTACCAAATATCATCTAAATTGGTTCAGTAGATCCAGAGATTACCCCCTACAATGTCACAAACTCACAAACTTTACCTCTTTATAATATTAGTATAGATTATTTTGATAGATAGGTACATTTATTTATTTGTATAGATAGATATTATTCAATAATACTTTTTTACTGAATCTCTTTAAATAACAACTAGCGGACCCGACAGACGTTGTCCTGTCTACACGTCTTTAATTTGAAAATTTCAAACTTTTTTTAATATTTTTTTTGATGAAAATTATTATTCAAATTATGAATCTAAACCATTCCCAGATCCCCTTGAACACACACAAAAAATTTCATCAAAATCGGTCCAGTCGTTTGAGAGAAGTTCAGTAACATACACACTCACAGAAGAATATATAAAGATATATCATATTTATGATATCATAAGTTCCAGACGTTATACCGATAAAGATAAAATTTGGATTAGAAAATAAAGTTTTAGGTGATAATTTTATAATCCGGTATATTTTTACAGCAGAACGTTAAACAGTATTATTAGATGACTAGCGACTCAACCTTGCTTCGCTTGGGTTCGTTTCTAGGTACGTTTTGAGTTTTGATACTTAGTATGGAATAGATAGACTATATATACATACATACTCGTAGGTGATGAGTTATATATCCCTTACTTGAGAAATACAAACATACAAATATGCAACCCCCTTTTCACCCTTAAGGGATGATTTCCAGAATAAAACTATCCTACTCGTATATCCATCCCAGGGTCTCAAACTATCTTCATACCAAATTTCATCAAAATCGGTTCAGCGGATTAAGTGTGGAGTGGGTAACAGACAGACAGACAAACAGAGTCACTTTTGCATTTGTATATATTTATATATCGCACAACTCCAAATAATCCAAATTCGAGTTATAATATATTAGATTTGCTTTGCATCGGCGGGCACCGACTTCGAAAATATCTGATTAGGTATCTATTCTAAATGCAAACCTCCGTTTAGTTATTTTCACATTTTAGTGACTGGAAGTAGGTTTTTTTAAAGTTTTTATATTTCAACTTTTTGTTAGTCTACAACTGAATATAAAGCTCTCAGGAGACCAAGTCTTGTAAAATATAATAAATAAGCAGTAAATAGTGTTATTTTTCAACAAATCTACTTCGATTTACATAATTATAATATAATATAGGATTTAAAAGAAAACCAGATAACCCGAAAAAACCATTTAATTCACATATCACTTTTTGTATCCATACTCAAAAACCTGGACCTGGGATACAACAGTTTTGCCGGGAACCGTTTGTTTTTTAAACAAATGCTGGAATCTTACCGAAACGTCTTCTGATACCACTACTTTGTGGACCTTCAAATCTCCTTTTGTCAAAGAGGTTTCTTCTTTAGTTACTGTAATTACTGGAGAGTATACGGCATTTTCCAGCTCTTCAACGGTGTTCTGCTCAAGATTGGAGGAACCTCGGAGTTCCTGGCTATTGGGAACACTGGATTCTATATCTGGCTTTGCTTCGGACATGTTCGATCTGAAAACCATAACAATTATTTGTTAATATAAGCTGCTATTACACTTGTTATTTACATACTAATGTATTCCTTGATTTTGGTCACGGTGGTCAATCTCACTGAATCTAGCCAGCTTCAGGAGATAAGTATATTATATATATATATATATATATATATATATATATATATATATTATATTATATTGTCTAAGCACACCAATGCACTATTTCTTTTACTCTCATATTCCGGTGGAACAACAATTGGACATGTGGCGGAGTGCCGACTTGATCTAGACTTCAGAACCACCCATTAATGTTATCCACTAGACCTACGAGTCAGTTAGTTTAGCTATATTTCACTTATCATTCACACTTTGTTCAGTCATATTTTACTTATCATACTTATCATTAAACTTCCGGCTTAATTATAATACATGCCACCATACATCATTCATTTGGAAAAACACAAATATATGAACAAACAAGCTAGCAGTTCATGTTAAATAAGAGGAAAACAGTAATTTTGCTTTATGTATACTAATATAATAAAGAGGTAAAATTTGTGAATTTGAGTTTGTGGCGTTGTAGAGGGTCTGGATCTTTGGATCTACTGAATCGATTTACATGAAATTTGGCAAGAAGATAGTTTGAGACCCTGGAAAGGACATAGGATACTTTTTACCCCAGAAATCATCTTGAGGGGGTGAAAATGGGGATGAAAATTTGTTTTGGGAAGCAAGGTACTATTAATAACTTTAGAAGTGAAAGTTTCGATTTCTTTATTCTAGTCTTTTCTATTCAAATCAAAATTGGCTGAATAACTTCAGAACCCTTCCATTTAAAAACATTTTTATGGCTTAAAAACAATAAGATAAAGACATTTTTTTTAAAATAAAGTGTGATATCCTCCTACCAACTTAGGGTGGCTAATCTTACTTAGACAAGCATGTGCGCAACACTCGCGTTCTCTGTTCCCTAGTTCTTATACTCATATATGGTATAAATATTTGTGAAGGTACATCAGGGGAAGAACCTACTCTACGTGTTCTCGGAAGAACGGTGTTGAAGCACCATTAAGCTATTTTAAGTTAATTAAGTAACATAACCAACGTAATGCTCTTTTTTTCTATCAGGCGTCGTTATATATTGTCATTATAGCACAGACGGTGATTTTAAATTTTTCTTTCTCAATAAATTGTAAGACAGCGTGCTGTTTGATGAATGTATCTCCTTTTTGAACTCTCCTCTTCCTTTACAAAGACTACATTCATAGTTATAATAAAAAATGCTACCCTGTAAGGCACGACAATATCGATAGGCACTCCGAATGTTACTCATGCTTAGTTTACCTTTTTTTTATAAGTTGCAACAAAATGCCGTCGGCAAATCAATATATTGTCACAATTTTTCAAATATTCTTAACCGTTTCCTGAATGTTAGACGAATAGATTGCAAATATGAACACTTAAAAACAAATCACAATCTGCTGTTGTAGGTTATCTATAGCCTAGCTAGTTTACAGATAAATCCAAGTATGTATTTAAAAACCCCAGCTTTATATCCACTAAAAATTTCTATAACTGACTTTTATTGAATTGTCTATATTGATGGAAAAGCGACTCCAGATCAGGTTGGAAAAAGCATTAATGGTACGAATTGAATGAATGATTAACGTTTGAGGTTCATTTTAGGTTTTGTTTAGGTTGCGACTTATACTAAGCGTTTTACGAACTCATGGTATGAAATGCCGAAACAGTTCATTCATTCAATTTTAGGTCGTAAATTGAGTCGCAACAAGAGTTGATGGTAGGCCCTCTTGTCTATGCCCATTTGGCAGAAAAATCCAATAAGCTATTTTTTCTAACTTGGTAATCAAATCGAAGGCGTTATAGGCAACGTTGGAATTTTAAATATGCCTATAAGTTTGCTATTATCATTATCCTCCTGCCATTTTCCAAGTTACTTGAGGTCGGTGCAGTGAGTCTTCGTCTTCCCCCCCAACGTGCGTTCACCTTGACGTGGTGAGTCTTCGTCTTCCATTCTCTCTATCACTCATCACCTCATGATCCACCCCTTTCTCTTCCATGTCTTGTCTTACACAATCTATCCATCTTTTCTTCGGTCTTCCTCTACCTCACCATCAATCTACATTCATTTCCATCACTCTGCTCGTCACATGCCCATAACAACTCACTAGCTATTATGTTACAATGAACATAATACATAATATAAGGAACGGTTTTGATAAAATTGATAATATTTAATCAATTTTATTTTAATCGTAAGTGAACATGAGATAAGGAAAACAGTAAAATTCTCGTAGGTATATAACATTTTTGTATTACGCTTGATTAGGGTAAATTATTTTCATATTATCCAGTCATTTTAGAGGTAAACAGTAACAAACATACGCAGAAAGTGTGAAGACACTTGCCACAAAAGCTTGTAACAACCCTTATTAACATCTCACTGCCGGGTACAGGCCTCTCAATGCGCGGGTGTTCAGGCCATAGTTTACCACGCTGGCCAAGTGCAGGTTGGCAGACTTCACATGTCTATCGAAAACTTGCTAGGTTCTCTGAGACATGCAGGTTTCCTCACGATGTTTTCCTTCACCGTACGACAAGTGCACATGAAAATATCAGAGGTGCGAGACCCGGGATTTGAACTCTTTCACTCTGTTTTTCAACCGAGCGCGTTACCACTGGGCTACCACTGCCTTTAACAAAAGCTCCAAGAAGACTGTTCTTCTTCTTCTGGTCTGTTCGATTGATGGATCAGACCAGAAGAAGTTGTTTAATTTTTTCCATCAAATACTAGGCTTGGAGTTGGGAAATTGGTGTCACACCACCTTGCCTCGAAGAACACGTCAAAATTTCTTGAGATTGCTCTCGTACTAAGTTCCGTAACGTTTATGTAACTCAACAGCTAATTCCGTGAACATAATTCCTACATATATTGGAGTATTGCAATTCCTTTTCAAAATTCATAGGCTTAACGAGACGCACTCAAGCGAAGTGAGGGTAGATCACCAGTGAATTATAATGACGGATTCAGCTCTCGTGCTACATGAAAGTTTTTACATAGTACTACTGGGTGTATCGAAGTCATCCCATTGCAATATGCTAGTGAGTAGATAAAGAATCTACGGAAGACCATGGGGCAGTACAATATTTTCTACGATGGCTTGTTTCAATTTGATTGGCCGTAACCGGAAATAATAATAAATAAAATATAAATATGTTGGGACATTAACACACAGCACCATCTAGTTCTTACGACACTACGAGGCTCGTGTTATGGATACCAGATAGTTGGTACACTACACATATATAACTTTAAATACATACATATTATAAATATAAACACCCATGACTGAAGTACAAATATTTGTGCTCATCACACAAATAAATGCCCCCAGCGGGACTCGAACCCGCAACCGCTGGCTCAGGAAGTAGGGTCACTACAAACTGAGCCAAACGTCCAAATAAATCAATCAAGACAATCATTTTCATCAAACACTCCAACTAATATAGAATAATTACTAAAAAAATACTCACCTATCGACGAAAAACTTCAGTAAAATACTGTGACCAATGTCAGCCATGTAATTAGGTATTATCGATTGATTAGATATTGTTATCTGATATCGTGTTGCATTGTTTGAATTTGCATTTTACAATGATAAGTTAGGTTTATTCAGGTCAGTTATGGATGGGTGACCGTTTCGGTTATCCCGATCAGTGCTGGATTTACACTAGCGGCACTCGAAGCTTGGTTTGGCAAATTTTTAGGGGCGGCAAAATTCAGAGGGTATAAAAAAATCTTAATATTATCGAAAATTATTTTTGTATTCTCCAAACAATTATTAATTAAAAAAAATACAAATGCATTTTTAAAAAAAATTAAAATATTTATAAATTGTAATACTTTCTTAGATTTACGCGAATATTTGATATTTTAAATAAAACTATCTTTTCGGATTTTGTCGCGGATTTATTTGCATTTTTGTTTCCCGACGTTTCGAATGCTTTACAGCATCCATGGTCACGGGAGAGACTGAGGTGTTACATGTCTTGGAGGTATAGTTGTTACAGACAGCCTACCCACAATTAACAAAATGAAAATTGCACCAATTACATTACAATATTTTTAACTTTAAAACATTTTTATAATTTTAATTATAATTGAATATGGAATATTATTTGTTTAATTTTGCTATTATTTTTGTAATTATTACAATTTTAAAAATATTAATTAGTAATCTATATTTAGTGTTGCCATTATTATATTTATAACCATAAAGAAAAATATAAAATATAGTATTAATTATTTAAACCATATAATTGTTCTATGTGTAACGTCGGGAAACAAAAATGCAAATAAATCCGCGACAAAATCCGAAAAGATAGTTTTATTTCAAATTTATAAATCGTGTTTTTTTTGCATTTTTCGAAAAAAATTATAATTACAAGAAATTAAACTTTAAAAGTATCCATTTTATGCAAAATTTCGATAATTTTTACAGTACCCAGGGGTGGCGCTAAGGTTGAAAACGGCACTGATCCCGATACTTGAAATGGTAGAACAAAGTACCTACAAATGAGTACTTTCAAAATAAAATATGTACTCGTAGTGGTGTAATAAGACGTACAGTAGAAAGATGAAAAAAACAATTTTTCTAAATTTTTTTTCAGATGTGTGTATTTATACCATAGGTATATACACTAGGTAGGTATCTAGGTAGTAGTATATATATATTTATTTTTATGGTAATATTTATATAGCTTTATATATTTAAGTGATGATGATGTTCTCCTGACCGATTCCGGCCACGGCGGCCAATCTCATTGAGACTAGCCAACTGCGCAGGAGTTGAAACACCGCCAACTTCCGAACTTCGGGCTGTTACTGAGGCTTAATATACAGAAAAACTCAATAACTAAACTTGGCCTTACCCGGGACTCGAACCCAGGACCTCTGGGTGTGCAGCCTTACATGCTAGCCACTACACCACCGAGGCAGTTAGTATGTATGTGTAGGTGACTTATACTTAATATATTTAGTTTATCATATTTATATATTAACTTTCCAAAACATAATATTTATAATTTATTTAATATTTAATTTACGTATTAATATCATATAAACATACACCTACATTCATACAATACAAATATTTAATTATTTATATTTATAAATTAATATTTATTCATATTTATTTTTATTCACAAGCATAACCGCGCGAAACCCGTAGTATACGGCGGAACGGAATTTATTTGTCTCCTACCGGCCAATAATGATTTTTCTAACATACGACAGTCGACGCCTTACCAGCTGATGCTACTTACTAGTTTTACATTATTTAATCGTTTTCGTTAGTTTTTGTATGTGGACTTCTTGTGTTTGTACTTCTAACGTGTGTATTACTGTGTATCTTCCTAAACTTCTCCTTCTGAACTATTTTTACGTGCGTGTTGACTTTTACAATATATTATTTTATGAAGTGACGATATTTAGACTTTCATTCGTGTTTTCTCTCGTCACGACCAACAACAACCGCTAAACTGGTGACCCCTATAGTGCACGCCACAGACTCTTGGAGTATGAGTAGTGGAAGTGATTCGGCAACCTCGCACGTTACCACTCGACCGCGTGCCAAGATGGCGACGCCCGCAAAATGCGCCCCAACACCTCAGACGCCCCCGCAGATCAGGTCACTACCCTTTTGGCCTGAAAAACCTGCCATCTGGTTTGCGCAAATAGAAGGTCAGTTCAGATTATACGGTATTACTGACGATGCTACTAAATTCTACCACGTACTGTCAACATTAGATAGACAGTATGCCGCAGAAGTTGAAGACGTCATCACCGGCCCACCCGATTACAATCGCCTTAAAGCAGAACTTATTAAGCGGTTATCAGTATCACGCGAGAATAAAGTGAAGCAGCTGTTAATGCACGAACAGCTAGGAAACAGAAAGCCATCGCAATTTCTGCGTCATCTGCAGCACTTGGCTGGACCAGACATACCTGGAGAATTCCTGCAAACTATATGGACCAGCCGCTTACCAGTAGAAATGCAGCCCATCATAGCCTCGCAACCAACTCTGCCCCTAGACGCGTTGGCAGAGCTCGCAGATAGGATACATGACATAGCAACCCCAGCACAACAGGTAGCTGCCACATCATCGTCATGTATCGAATTGCTAACACAACAAGTCGCCGAGTTAACAAAACAGGTTAGTGCGCTCACTGCCAAAGTCAACGAGAGGTCACGACCTCGCGACAGAGGTCACAGACGACATCAAAGCCGGTCACAATCAAGACGGTCCACTTCGAGTCACCGACGGTACCCAACGTGTTGGTACCATAGTAAATTCGGCTCGAAGGCAAGAAGCTGCATCCAACCCTGTGACTTCAAGTCGGGAAACGCCCCGAGCAATCAGTGATGGCGACAACCGATTGCCCTGCTTCCCCCAGTCGCCTCTTCGTGACCGACCGCACTTCGAACACGCAGTTCCTGGTAGACACTGGCAGTGACATTTGTGTATATCCAATTAGTGCTATTCGTGAAACACGTCATAAGGACGCAATATCAACTCAGTGCTTGCAAACGGATCAACAATCGATACGTATGGTTATATAAATTTAACTTTAAACATTGGTTTACGTCGTAATTTTCCATGGCGTTTTGTTATCGCCGACGTAACCAAAGCAATAATAGGTGTAGATTTTTTGTCTTATTATAAACTTATTGTGGATGTCAGTAACCATAAATTAATAGATAGTCTAACAGATATTAGTACAGTAGCTAGTATTGTAAGCACTGATTATCTAATTACGAGTGTCAAAGTATCAACTGGCGGCAGTAGTAGATATCATAATATTCTAGCTGAATTTCCAGAAATAACCCGACCCGCCGGTACACCGGGGACTCGTACAACACCACACAAAACACCACATACGCACTACACCAGGCCCACCAGTATCTTGCGCACCGAGGAGACTAGCTCCTGATAAACTTAATATTGCTAGACAAGAGTTTGAAGCCATGTTAGCAAATGGCACGGCGCGTCCTTCTGACAGCCCATGGTCATCACCACTACATCTCGCATCGAAAAAAGACAATGGCTGGCGCCCTTGCGGAGATTATAGACTTTTAAACGCTAGAACTATACCTGACCAATACCCCATCCGTCACATACAGGACTTCTCACACAACCTATTTGGATGTAAGTTCTTTTCCGTTATCGATCTAGTCAAGGCTTATAACCAAATTCCCGTCGCTGAGGAGGACATACCGAAAACAGCAATAACGACTCCTTTCGGTCTATACGAATTTCCTTTCATGACGTTTGGGTTGAGAAATGCTGGTCAGACCTTCCAACGGTTCGTCGACGAAATGACCCGCGGACTTGACTTCTGTTATCCGTATTTAGACGATTTTTTAGTGTACTCTAGGACACAAGAAGAACACGAAGATCATTTGCGCCAACTTTTCACCCGTATGAAAGATAACGGTGTTTTAGTCAACATGGCTAAATGCGTCTTTGGTGTTCCTGAGGTAGCATTCCTGGGATATCACATTTCGAAGAATGGTACTAAGCCCTTAGATACTAAAGTCAAGGCCATATTAGACTTTCCAGTTCCTAAAACGGTAAGAGAACTTCGCCGATTTTTAGGGATGATAAACTTTTACCGACGCTGGATACCTAAAGCCGCTCAGATACAGGCTCCACTCAATGCCTTACTGACTGGTTCAGTTAAAGCCTTACATCCTGTCGACATAACGGGAAATTCATTGCAGGCATTCGAGCAGTGCAAGAAGAGTCTTTGCGAGGCTGCACTTCTAGCACATCCTAACTCTAATGCTAAGTTGGGACTTGTCACTGACGCCTCTGACACGGCGATAGGTGGAGTCCTTCAGCAATATCAAGATGAAGCATGGCAGCCTCTAGCGTTTTTTCTCACGCAAGTTGAGCCCATCACAGGTAAAGTATTCACCATACGATCGGGAGCTCCTTGCAATATACGAAAGCATTCGCTATTTTCGCCATATGCTAGAGGCCAACCATTTCACTGTCTATACTGACCATAAGCCCTTATGTTACGCATTTCATGAAAGAAAGAGTAACTGCTCACCACGTCAGTATAGGCACTTGGACTTCATCTCGCAATTCACGACAGATATACGACACATATCGGGTAAAGACAACATTGTTGCCGATACACTATCTCGTATCAATGAATTGCAGAAACCTGTCGACCTGGAGGAACTTGCAAAGTCCCAGTCTACAGATGCTGACCTCGCAAATATATTAAAAGGCGAAACATCTTTACATTTAAAGAAATTGACTATTCCTGGTAGTCGTACAGAAATGTACTGCGACGTCAGTACGCCGACTCCCAGACCTTACGTCCCAGTTAGTCTTCGCCGGCAAGTATTCGACTCCTTGCACTCACTAAGCCACCCTGGCTCTAATGCTACGACTAAGCTAGTAGCACAACGTTTTGTTTGGCCACTAATGCGCAAAAATTGCCGTGAATGGGCTAAGGCGTGTTTGTCTTGTCAACGCTCGAAGGTAACTAGACACGTTGCCTCAC